CGTCTGACCAACTTGAGACCTTGTGATCGGATGGTCATTGTCGCCAATGGTGGCAGAACACGCGCGACCAAAATGGGGACCATGCGGGTGACCACCAACACCGGCGCTTCCTAGTCATGGAAGACGTGTTAGTAATTGACGCAATGCCGTCAACTCTCCTGTCGGTCTCTGCCATGATGCGGCGCGACCCGAAGTTCGCTGTCACACTCGATGCTCATGGATGCAGTATCATGCACGGCACCAACACAGTCGCAATGGCGACAGTCGACCTAACCGAAAGGTCTACGTCTTGGACCTCGCCACGACAACTGAGGAATGCAACTTCGCAACTGACACCCCCAAGTATACCATCGCTGCACAAGAAACGTCAGCACTCTGGCACCAACGCGTGGGACACTTACCCACCGCAGCAGTGAATCGATCGCGGCGCAATGGGACTCGGTTCACCGAAGGGACTACCCGAACTCAAGACTAAATGTGAGTGCTGTGTCATGAACAAGATCACCAGATTCTCACCTCCCAAGGAACGCACACGGTCGTTCCTCCCAGGGGAGTGTTGGGTGTCCGACACGAAGGGCCCTATGCGGACCGAGTCAGTCGGAGGATGCCGGTACTACACTGTATACCATTTACCTCGATGTCGGATCAGGCATGAAGGTCGTCAGGTTCGTCAAGTCAACGGACTCTGCCAGTCAACAGGAAAACTTCACCAAGTTGAAGTCTTGGTCGGAGGTCCAGACCGGCCGCAAGATCAAGATCTTCCGATCTGACGGCGGGCCGGAGGATTCGTCCCAAGACTTCAACGAGACACTGAAGACCTGGGGCATCACCCACGAAAAGTCTTCAACAGACAACCAATGGCAAAATGGAATTGCTGAACGAGCTCACCGTTCCATCATGGAAATGGCAATGGCAATGATGTCCCATGCCGGCCTCGCCAAGCGATGGTGGGCAGAGGCGGTGAACACCGCAGTGTTCATCCAGAACAGGGTGCCCCACGCACGGCTCAGCGGCCACTACCACCCCGATCGAGGCCTTCACGGGACACCGTGCCCGCCTGGACAAACTTCGCGTGTTTGGATGCATCGCCTACAACATGGTCAAGGAGCCTGAGAAAAGAGACAAGCTCGCACCCAAGGCCATCAAATGCGTCATGATGGGCTACGCTGAGGCCCAGAAAGCATACAAGTTGTACGACTTGGAGCAACAAAAAATGGTGACCAGCGTTCAGGTCGAGTTCCGGGAAACGAGTTCCCAGGCGTTCGCACACCCATCGACGAGTACCTAGTGACTCATGGTGATGACGACGACGATGAGGAAGAAGAACTTACCATAAAGAAACAGTGGCCACAAGGCCCACCCCTATCTCTGTGACAACGTCACACACCCAAGCGGCACCACGAAGCCACATCAAACAGGGTACAAGACCGTCAATACACTCCACCTCCGTCACTGCGACGTCACAACCCCATTTGGCACCGCGAAGCCACTTCAAACCGGGCAAGAAACCTTCAATACCCCTCATCACGCCCGGAATGACATCGCGGGAAATCCATTATCCCAATCTGGCTGACGTGACGCCATCCACTTACTCTAGTCCTAACACCAGGATGACAATGGCCGATTTTGACTCACCACCTGTTGGCATTCGTGGGATGGCCCTACGAGACAGAAACAAGATTAGAGTCCCATCGAGAACGAAGACGAACATACCACCATAATGAGTCACCGCGCCAACGCCGCCACGGATGTCGAACTTGGCACCACCATGACCATTGACAGTGTGGAATATGCCTGCTCCGCTTTGCCACCTACGGATGATACCCCTCAGAGCCACTATGAGGCTATGCGACCGCTGGATTGCACAGAATGGATGAAGGCTGAAGCGCTGGAACTGGAACAACTTCGTGACGCCGGAACATGGCAGCTCGTTGACCTCCCACCCGGCCGCAAGGCTATCGGCTCCCGGTGGACGTATGTAAAGAAGACCAACTCTGCCGGAGAAGTTGTCCGTTACAAGGCCCGCCTAGTGTGCAAAGGTTATTCGCAAGTGGAAGGCGTGGACTACACAGACACCTACTTACCGGTAGTCAAGATGGGGACAATTCGAGCATTCGCTGCCTTCGTGGTCTCCAACGGATATGTCATGGTCCAGGCGGACGCCGACACAGCGTTCGTCCAAGCCAAGATTGACGAGGGCGTACTGCTGTAAGTTGAACAACCGCCTGGCCACGACGACGGAACAAGCAGGGTCATGCTGCTAGCCAAGGCCCTGTACGACCTCAAGCAGGCATCACTCGTCTGGTTCGAACACTGCCGCAAGATCCTCCTGTCGATTTCATTCCACCCCAACGCGTATGACCCTTGCCTCTACCAAAGGATGACGGTAGATAGCGTTGAGATGATCAGTACTTACGTGGACGATTTATTCGTAATGACCAAGACGTCCACCGCTGCGGAAAAGATCCTCGACCAGCTCGAGGCCAAAATGAAACACAAGCGCCAGGGCATAGCATCCTACTTCTTGGGGATCAAGATCGACCGTCAAGACAAAGTGCTCACCATGAGCCAAGCGGCATACGCTCGAAAGGTCTTGGATCGCTTCGGGATGGCCAATTGTCACACCTACGCTACCCCCGAAGTCGACGACTGCGAAGACCTATGGCACGACGAACAACAACCGCGGACAGACGAATCCGCCTACCGCTCCATGGTGGGGTCACTCATGTACTTGATGGTGTGCACCCGCCCTGACATAGCGCACGCTGTGCAGCGTCTGTCCCGTCACTTGCACGACCCTCGCGAGCCGCACATGATCGGGGCCAAACGCGTCATGCGCTATGTCAAGTCGACCTTGGAACACGGCTTGACCTTTCGGGCCGGCGATTGCGAAACTTGTCGGATATAGCGACGCGTCCTGGGCCAACCGCGATGGGCGCCGGTCGACCACAGGTTACATCTGCTTCGTGGGCGGCGCAGCTCTGTCATGGAAGTCAGCACGTCAACGTGTCGTAGCACTCTCTACCTGCGAGGCAGAGTACATCGCCCTCGTTGAGCTGGCCAAGGAAGTCATGTGGCTCCGTGGTCTCCTACAAGGAATGGGGGTAGATCAATCTGCTCCGACCCTCACCTGGTGTGATAACAAGGCAACCATCGCAACGGCCGAAGGAAGCGGCATGAGCGAGAGAAGCAAGCACATGGACGTGCGCCTCCACTACGTTCGCCAACATGTCCGAGACAAGTCCATTGACGTCCGTCACGTTGGTACTGCCGAACAACTCGCGGATATCCTAACCAAGGTATCGACCAAGGAAGCCATCGCGAAGTTCAAAAATGCAGCAATGACAGTTGGAAAATCAACGGCCAACGGTGACATCAAAATTGGCCAATCAGACGCTGTCTCCCCTACAAGACCAACATAGGGGGGTGTTGAGAATGTTGTTCCCTCAGGGAGCCAACTTCTATTTGTATCTCAAGGACATGTCCAGGGAAGACATGTGTCTGCACAATTGTTGGCACAAGACGGGATCACAGAAAGCTATGTGAGCCATTCATATACTTGTAGGATTATGTATGGGCAACGGCCTAATATATTACTCTTGAATCAACCACAAAGGCCTCACAGCCTTTTCGCCTCGACCTTTAAGTCGCAACAGGGACCTGCAGTGGATGTTCCCCGGGAGAGGCATCGTCCATGCCGAGATGCCGGCGAGTCGCGACGCCCCCGCCATCGGGCTCCAGCTGTGGCTCAACTTGCCTGCTCGGTTGAAGATGACCGACCCCAAGTACCAAGAGATCCCCGCGTCGGGCTTGCCACGGGCCAAGGACGGCAATGTGAGAGCCATCATAATCGCCGGCGAGGCCATGGGTGAAACGGCATCGATCCCCTCACCGCAAGTGTCGATGAATGCACCAACTTTTTGCACTCCCTATACACAGCAGGATTAAAGGCAGGCACGGTCGACGGCGCGAAGACCACCCTTGTTGCATTCTTCCGCGATCACAAAGTCACGCCTAATCCAGCGCAAGATGCGCAAACCAAACGCTACATAATTGGCCTGCAAAAGTACAACAGGATCCACAACTTGGACGACGAGAAGAAAGTACACCCGCTCTCGGTGCACGAACTATCAACATTGATGAATGAATTCGCTCAAGAGACGCCATTGATTGCCACTATGCTCCAATTCCTGTTCTTATGCTGCTTTTTTGGGTGTTATCGAATTGGTGAAGTTCTGGTGCTAACTTGGAGCGATGTTGCGTTTGGTCAAGATGGTCAAGGTCAATATACTGTATCTCCGTGCGACTCCGATGGCATAAAAAGGCATCTGTGGAGAAGGAGTCCCAGATCCTTCACCTTGTGGACGAGTCTTTGTACCCTTGCTTGCGCGTGTGTGCTATGTATAACTCTTATTTGACACAAATTAGAGCAACGAACATCAACATGAGCAAGGATGCATTTGTATTCCCATCGTTCACTTTGAACAGTTTTGGTGCACTGAAAGTTGACTGGTTTAAGCGCCTTGATCAAGCCCATCTCCGGCGTAAACTTTCGGCTATTGTTGAGAGAACTTCAATGCTCCCAATTGGCATGTCCCCACACAGCATGAGGCTAGGTGGTTGTTTCTACCGTGTCTTTGAGTCAACCCAGCGCCGGTTTAACATCCGCGAGCTCATGGCGTGGTGCCGATGGGCTGACGCCAAGACTTGTTGTGAGTACCTTGTGACACGCACAATCAGTCGCGAGATTGATCCGCGTGATTTGCTACGTACGGCCCGGTCTATCGGAGTTGATCATTTGGGGGGTGGAATTGGTGACCATGCCTCTAAACTGCTGGAGTAAATTCACCGCCAAGTTGTCCATGACTCTGGCCTCTCGTCCATCGTCCCCGTACAAGCAGATCCTCAACCAAAGTGTAAGAAGTTCAAGGAAGAGTCCATGCGCAATTTTGTTGTTCACAAGAGAATTGCAACTGCAAGGAATGCTGACGACGCCTAGCGGCAGTGGTTCTTCCCTGACTTGAAAGCTGGACTTGTTTGCGGGCTCAAGGACTTCTCTAAGGAGATGATCAAGTACTATAGAAGGATGAATTCGGAGCGGCTCACCTTGTCACGGGCATTTGCAAAGTTCCGGTCATTGACCGAGTTTAAGGTCGCGTTCGCAGGGCACACAGAGACGTGCTCCGCCCTTTTGCGGGAGGTTCGTAAGCAAAGGCGCAATGGTCTTTTGTAATTGGATAACAAATACTGTATAACCTCCAATTAAACTCATGTCGGTTTGCCTTGTCGGTTCCTTGATTCAATCTATACGTGGCAGACACGCCTTGCCACAGACACGACCAACCAAGATTACGGTACATGAACAAATTTTTATCAGACCAAATACAAATGACATGTTGAGTTCTTGAAGTATAGCATCCTCGTTAGTATAGTGGTCAGTATACCTGCCTGTCACGCGGGTGACCCGGGTTCAATTCCCGGACGGGGAGCTTCTTTTTAGCTTAATGCGATGGAAGTACGTTTGTGGCATTCAACTCGTCAGGTGTCACCAGAGCGCAGGCAGCTCCATCCCTGTGACCTTTCACACGTTCAAATGTGAACTACTACGTGCGGCATTGGAGTATGATGATTCGTCCAACTTGGTGCTGGAGTGTTGGCATCCTTTCGGCTTCGAATGTTCACGTTTCTTGTCACGTCGTTTCGATTTAAGTGACACACGATTCGCATTCGGACGGGCAAAATGAACGATGCGTTGGCTGTCGTTGTCAATCAAGTCGGGATTCCACTCCTCGTCCGTCCGTACGGTCAAGCCCAAGTCCCTGCGACTGCTGCCATTGGAATCGTCAATGCCATCTTTGACGCTGCGTTGGGCTCCAACAAGCACGTTGCGTTCCTGGAGACGATGCAATACCGCGTGGCGTATCGACACACAGACGACGGATGGCTCTTGACGCTCTTCAACTCCGAGCTCCTTCCAAGGCAACAGAGCAGCCAAACGCTACAGTGGATCGATCGGATGTTGCATCTCGTCCTTCGCCCTTCGCTGTTTGCATCCACGGATGCTGGATCGCAAAAGTTTGAGGTCACTAGGCACATTGCGTTCTTGGATTACATCATGACTCATCAATCGGACCTTGAATTGGCGGTGGGCATTCCGCTAATCGCTTCCTCGATCGACCAAGCGTTGGACATGATGAGCATCGGCGTGGCGTGGGCTGGTCCAATGTACATTGTTAGCGACGGAGCCATCCTGTTGGACAACGACAACAATGTCGACAACTCTTTCGACAGCTGGCTCCTCGTGCTCTTGGTCATCGCCGCGGAGCTCCTTCTCGAGCAGCCTGCAAAACCAACGCTCCAGTTCCCCGTCTATATCAACATGGTACGTGCCTCGACAATTGTTTGTGTGACGACGTTTCCACGATGCGATTTAGATACCCCATCAGATGATGGTAGTCCAAGTTCCTTCGAGCACGCACCTCGTCTGGTTTGGTTTGACTAGCGGAGACGTCAGGATCTCTGGCGAGGACGTGCACAAGAAGCTGATCGAGTGGCACCGACGGGCATGCTCCCTCTTGCCGACATTGTGGAACCTGCCACCAGCAACGAGTGAGCAGTGGCCAGCTCTACTCGGGTGCGGAAAATGTGTCGAAAACTTGATCACTTCACGATTTCAGGGTGTAGGTACTGCCTATTTCGCCAAAGCCCATCGCCACGATGCTCCGCCACAGTGGCCATCAAATCAACGGCTGTACCATCAGCAACGCCACCTCAGCTCAAGACCTCTCTGCTTTGTCCAACACCTCAGGACATTTACACCCTGTTGGGCCATGGCATCCTCCGCCTTTGCCACACAACCCCGTCTTCCACGACGAATCAAGACAACCTACTCGTCTTGGGGGTAATGGAATCTCTTCGTTTGGCCTTTGTCCGACTTCTCAAGCGAGATCGGTGTGTAGAATAACCTGGTCGTGCTATACGCAGTTCGGCCACCCGTTCACATCGTTGCCGTTCTCACCGGCCCAGTGGAACTTTCTGCTGCGATCAAAGTAGCCGATTATCTGGCCCAAATTGCGTGTTCTGGATAACGAATCGTGCTTGCAATGGATTATTCCAGCGACGGCATGTCTTCGAATTCGTGCTCGAGCTCTTGTTGCAGCTCCGACGCTTGTTTTTTCTTGTTGACAGCAACCAATCGATCCATGATGTTGTCCTTGTACAGCTTCTTCTCCGCTTCATGATAGCTCTTGATGTATTTTGCAAGCGTCATCTAAACGATCAGTCGTGAGAGGTCCGTGCTCGTCGGCTGCGCTCATGCCAACACGCACAGACCTTGGATCGTTTTAGGTCCATTTGCGTCTTGACAATTTGAGCATCGCTCCCGCCATCCGTCAACTCGACCGCCTTTTGCAAACTCGCTTCGGCCTCGGCCAAAAACTTGTTGGCTTTGTCGATCACCCAAAACTCCTTGCGGTCTTCCTTGGCCAGCTCGTCGTTCAACTTGCCGAGAAAAACAAGACTGCGACGAAAGTGGGCCTTGGGCAGCGCGTTGTTGATTTCAATCGCCTGGCGAGTTGCTTCCATCATCACTGGACTGCGAAACTATTATGGCCGACGACTGTACCTTGTCGCAATCCCACTCGGCATCGTTCCACTTGCCCAGCTTGATTTTACACAGCGCCCGGTTCAAGTACAGCGGGACTTTGTGGTTGTTGATGCGAGTTTTGTCTTCGGCCGACACAAGCACTTCCCATTCGTCCTTGCCGTAAAAGTTATGCACAAACGCCTGAAAGGGCCAGTCAAGTCGGCAAGTCTCGACCGATGACGTTACCGTGTCGTAGCATTTTTGCGCGCTTTCGTAATCCCCTTTCTTGACAAGGGCATTGCCTTCTTCCTTTTGCTCGCTTGAGCTGCGCAGTCGCTCGTCTGGTGACCAAATGAGCGAACGGATTGAAAACGATCTTTCTAGGCGTACCCACAGTTGCGGGAGGGTTTGCCTCGAGCATTTTGCGGTCTTCTTCAGCCTGACGTTTGCGCGATTCGGCCAACTCGGCCGGTGACGGGAACTTTGGCAGTGGTTTCTTGATGCCAGCGACAAAGCGAGATTATATACAACACAGCGGAATGGTCTACGTACGCCGTAGCTCACGAGTTCGATTTCGTAATCCAACACCTCGTTCGGCTCGACTTTAGGGGCTAACCCTTGGACGCCGTACCCGTATTCGGGCTGAATGATGAATCGCGCGACTTCGCCAAGGTTCATTGTCATTACTGCAATATCCAGACCCAAAATGACTTTTCCTGCGCGGACAACTGGATGTGAGCTCTCGATGGATGTGGGGTACCGTGGTATACCACGGCCAATGTGAAACTCAAATGCGTCGTCTGTCCCGCCCGCGTTCTTTCCATCAACAACATCGCGCCTGTAATGATTACCATGGAGTCAACAACCATGCGCGAGAAAGAATGTGACGAGGACGTACGTGGTGTCGAAAATGGACCCATCGTCGAGTCGACCAATGTATTGAACGAATGTTGGGCACCCCTCTTCGATGAACTTGCCATTGGAATCCCCTTCCTTCAAGATCTACAGCATCGCGCAGTCAGGGACCATCGCCACACAACTGGCCCAACCTTCTTAAGAACACCTCCGTCCGCTTTGGGCGAGATGTCAACATACCCGTCCGCACAAAACGCGCTTTTGTCGGGATCGAAGAATGCTTTCGTCTTCCTACAACATTGCATCAGTCGCATGCCTATCCGACTGCTGTGACTCAACACACCTGGCGCAATGCGCGCAGATCTTCTCGACGTTCGTCACCAAGTCCACGCCCCAGCCACCGCAGACGGTGCAGCGCACGTACTCGTCCATGTCGTTTGTCGAAAACTCCAGAATGCGGATACCTTGTCAAGTACGATTTTTTACGAAAAAGTGGAATTAATCCGTTAAGAACGATAGAGGCGAACATGCCCGCGACGCAGTCGGGCATCGAGTGCGTGACCCGAGGCAAGGTCCCGTGTGTGAATGTCTACGCATTTGTCGATGGAGAACATGGATGTACATTGCTCTGGCTGCCGACGTCGTTGTGGGCATAGCAAGAGCGCCCACTGGCGGGAACGTCAACCACCGCTCGGTGCATGCGATGGGGGTATGCATGGAGGGACGGACAGCCTCAGAAACGCAACTGGGTTTTGCTCGACGCTTCCCTCTATAGAGTCAACCCCCGAGTCGTCGGCATCCTTTTCCTGCCATTGCACAGGATGCCACCTCGAATGCCAAGGCACATTGAGAACGGTTGGAAAGTTGAGTCCATGTAGTACACGTCGTGGTACGGTACATCCAGTTGCTCGCTTCAAAAGGTACTGGAACTTTCAAGCAACGAGCGGCGTGGTTTCGCGAGCGGGCGTAGATGAAGGAAACTACGTTGCTCAGGCTGCTGAAGCTGTGCACTATCCAATGGACTAGATCAGTTTAGCCGAGGCGCCGATTGCGGTAGTGCCGTTTTGGCACATGACTTGAAAGTCTGCCTAGTCTATTTGGCACTGGGGGCCGAACGCCACACTCCACCACATGCAACTGACAACACTGCAGACGCCAGCTATGCGAGCTTCCAACCGACATGGGCGTAATATCATGTGCACACGTTGTCTTGATATTGTAGATCAGCCACGTGACTTCGCCAGCACTCAAAAGCGCTTTGTATGTTGGTGGGCCCGGCACGCACACTCAACGCCCACAAGATTGAGCGACGTGTAGAGTAGACCAGTGCAGGCTGGCCTCGAAACAAGACTAGCAGACGCATCCCACGCACAACACCCCATCGACGAGATCAAACATGTTTTGGCGCAGTTAAGATGCAAATGCTCGGACTGCACGTGATTCCGAGCTGATGCCAATCACGTCCTGTACCCCAGACTGCGCGTACGTGGCAAATGTTGACATTTCGCCATGTTAAGCGGCTTGCGAGGACGTCGAGCGCCGAATCAGTGGTAACGCTGATGGACCCGTTGTTGCTTTGAAAGGTCACAACGTCACGACTTCCCCACGCCCACTTGAAACAGCTAGCTCTACCATGTCGTAGGTTCGATCTGAGGCTTTGTAGCGTCGCTCCTCGTCCCATCTGCAACGGGGCATGTCGAGGTCGCTTCGAGGCAAATACGGATCCAACCAGGGGCTGGAGCCAAGAACAGTGTTTGAAGGCCGTGCGAGCACGCGCGATGGATGTGCGATGTATTCGCCAGACCAGAGCCCGACGCCACCTCTGCAATCAGCATGTTGTCCGCTGCGGGGTTGAGAATGGCAGACACAACGGAGACGACACGCCGCGGCTCGGTGGCCCGTCTCACTGTTCATAAACGTCCCTATGTCATACGTGTCAACTCTTGGCGCATGAGACTCCCCCCAAACGTCGACACTTACGGCATTGCTCTGTAAGCAGTTGGCACCACCAGTTTTAGCGTGATCGTGAAATACGCATGCGCTCCATTGACCTTGGTTGTGGCCAGCGTCCGGAGAACGATCTCGATGCCTCTAGGACGACTAGCTGCACGGTGCCAGAGTACGCGAGCTCCCGAAACTCGCCAATATCCCGCTGGAAAAGGTGAAAGCTCGCAAAAAGTGGGCCACCACCGCGCCGTTTTGAAGCTGCGTCGTCAGCATCGTGCGATTGCTGGCACTCGTGGATATCAAGCTCATTTCACCGAGAATGGTCTTGTTGGACGAACAGCCCACAAATGACAAACGAATCCCGAGAACAACCTGAACGAAGTTTGGGACACCACACGATCCATTGGACTGCGCCAACGTCATGCGGTATTGCGCTCCAAACGCATATTCGTCAGTGTATATCATCAGCTCATGCTTTTGTACGTTGCCATTGCACCGAGTACATGCCCCGACCAGCGATTTCCCAAGCCACCACTTCGTCGTTGAGCGTTTAGGAATTCCAGCCACACTTGGCCGTCACTTGTCGCCACATCGTTGACGGTGGCAGTGCCATCGCCAGTTCCCCAGCATTGTGTACACTCGACATTTCACGCTGCCGCTTCGAATTAGACGGCTCCAAGACTTCCGACAGTCTTTGGAATTCGTCATGGGGACCACCGCGTCAAGTTCACTCAGCAATCCTGCGTTGTGAGATCGAAGGCACGACTGCCCACTTTTCTCCCGCGCCAAGCACGTCGACCTCAACACCTCCATGCGAAACACGGTCGAATTGCAACGCAGGTTATGAAGGGTTGAGTCAACGAGGCGGCAATGCCGACGCGGTGCTCCGTCAAGCCCAGGACATGACACTTCGAAAGTTCACACTGGACATGGTTCGCCATGTAAGACAGCGAAGCACTCGCCCTTCGTCGCTTTGTGGAGTCCGTTATGCCATTGCCATGTGTGGTTGGCAATTGTTGGCCGATTTTCCCACAGGTTTGGGGAGAGCTCTGGTTGACTGTACTGGTCGTCGCAGCAGCATCGTCCCCTCCTACGTCGATACCAATCTACGTGATCTTGTCACCGCTTCACGCCAACTGCTTTCCATCTGAAAAATACATGGCGGCAGCAGGCCGATCGAAGCTGGAGCGCTTGCGTCTTTACAAAAAATTCCAGACATGCCGAGTGGCATCGTTCACTCCCCTTCACCATGACCGTACGTACAACTAACGTGCTCATCTTGTGCATCCGACATGGTGAAGGCCAACACAAGCGGCTGGCTCGCTCCGACGGCACTGAGGGTCCGCGGCAGCAAGCAAGGCTTGTCAACAGTACACTGAGTTTGAGGGAGCAGGCTCGGTCGGTTGTGTAGCAAGACGAAATTACTTCCATTGTACACCACAAACTTTGACCAAACCGACATCTGGGCGATCGAAGTGAGAAGGCGAGGCCGGGCCTGGGCACCATGGGCCATGCCAGGCATGCGTTCGCTTCTAGCCTTTCCGTCAACGCCAACGTGAACGATGCACTCAGGGCGAACAACGCGACGAAAGTGGGACGAAGCGCAAGGCCATCGCGATGTAAACGGACTGATGAGGTTGTAAATTTGGCCGAACTGAATTACTTCTACCTTGGCCATTTCCCACCCAAGCGCTTCAAAGTGGTTGGCGTCGCCTCGCCAGATATTGTTGTTGCAGAATCGTTCAAGACGTTTTTGTAGCGCCAGAACAGGAGAACCGTCGCCCACGGCCCCCGTATATACGACATGGTCGTGATCGACCGCGCCTGACGTTGTTGCAGCGCGTTTTCAACGTCGATCGTGTCGGCGAGGCTCATCTGTGTGTTTGGACACCACTTCAAACGACAACAAGTACCGGAATTCGTCTGGCACGGGCAAATTCTTGGCAAGTCGAGGGCGGTCGTTCATCGGCATTGCGCCTTCCGGTACCTCTTCTAGCGCCTTGCGATGCCTATCGTGCACACGTTACGATAATGCAGGCGTAAGCTGCTGTCCAGTTCGTGTTGCGCATGGTCGTGTCGAAGTAGTTGGCCAAACACCGGCGCGCTTCGTCATGTGGGTCAAAACCACCCAACAGTAACCCAATAGTATTGCGCGGAAAACGTCAAGCGGGCTCGCAGCTCGCGAATCGCTCGGGTTAGCGCTGCCATGTCGGTGACAAATACGCGTCGTACGTAAGCCAAATCAAACGTGCTCTGAACGACGTCGCTGGCACAGTCCTAATTGCACTCCGTGGGCAACACTCTTAAAGGGTATTTGCCTCGATGCTTGTACCAGTGTAAGGCTCCACAGCGCAAGCGTCCGATCGCCACACCAGGCAATGCCGCGCAATCCTGTTGCGACAGTCGGTTTGAACCCATCTGGTGTGGCTCTACCCACCCGTCCTAAAAAATCCGCTGATGTCACTCGCGCTCCTTGCCTTAATGTGTGCTCAATCAATACACATGGCTCCTCCAAGCGCGGCCCTGCAGTCTACCTTGCCATCCATCGACTTGTGCAGCGCGGCGCGCGTCTGGGAGACGGTGACCCGTCCAGTTTCGTTCAGCTTTAAGGTCAAATTTTGGCCAATCAGAGTAGAGGAATCCCCAAAAATGGGGTTCTCTGGTGAAAACTTCGATTTTTACTTCGACGACCCCGCGCCCCACCAGTCACATACTCAAGATGAAGATGTATTCTATATTTTGCAACTTCGAGTTTGAATCGCACTTTGGCAGAATATTATTATTTACATTCTTCACTGGGAATTTGTATGATATGGTTGTTGTATTTCGTACGAATGAATCCATGGGACTTTTCCATCCACCCTTAACAGCGCCGCCGGCCGACGCAGTGCACGAGGCGGACCAACGCCCCTGGCCGTACGTCGATGAAGTTTGGCAAAGTCCTGCAGCAATCGATAGAGCTGTCGTCCTCGGAGTGGGAACACTCGTGGGTCGACTACAAACAGCTCAAGCACATCATCAAGGACTGCGCTCACGTGTCGAAACACGACAAGCTCAGGAAAGAAAAGCTGGAAGCCAACAAGCTCCAAAATGGAAACAACGATACCATACGTACGTTCTAGATGCGTCGGCGGGCTCTCATGTCGTCGACGATGTCTGCGCAGGCCAATCCCCCGACGAACTCAACTTCTTCCGCACCGTGCGAGGAGAATTGGCCAAAATCACAAAACTCTTCATGAAGGAACAGTCGAGATACAGCGTGTCGGTGGGCGAGATTGAAGCCGAGTTTGAGAAGCTCCAAGTATGCATCGTTGACTCAACCATTCGACCTCACGTTGCGCGGTTCGTGGTAGACAGATTCCGACGCAAACCTGGAGAAGAAAACGAAAGTCATGGCAAGCTGCGTCGCGTTGTTCAAGGAAATGTTGCTCCTGGAGAACTTCGCCTTGATCAACTACTGCGGCATTTCCAAGGTGCACACTTCTTGTGTCCAACGACACCTGCGCGGGAACTTGTCCTGACGGTGTGGCATTAGATTCTAAAAAAACACGACAAGTGGACGGGATACAACACCCGAAGCAAGTTTGTCGAGTCGGTCCTGAACAAGCAGCCATTCGCTGCCTACTCGACGCTCCTGGCCATGATCAATTGCGTCGAACAAGTATTTATGAAAGCCACGGGCTCTACCATTGCCCAACATGACAACACAACTGACTCGCGCATGAACCGTGCGGTGGAAGTGCAGTGCGGGTACTCGATGCTCCAGCTCCACGCCGATACCGAGTCGAAACCCCCGGCAATCGCTGCGTCTGCTGCCCCTTCCACCACTTCTCACGACGGCGCGCCGCTCAAGCGCCCAGTGAGTCTCCACGACCTGTCCATCTTACGCGACGAAGGTGTTCGGTTCAAGCGCACAGAAGAAGAAACGCTATCCCCTATCCAGTCAGGTCCTTCCGACGACGATGAAGACGACGCAGCGTACGATGGATGCGAAGAAGACGAGGCACCGCCACGTGCGCCGAACCGGAGCAAGCGGACCCGGGAGGACGGCCAAGACGACGAGAGCGACGACGGGGCGTCGTCGTCCGCCGCTGCGTCCGGCAAAAAGAAGATGAGCTTCTCTACGATTTTGAATTGAACGCATTCCGACCGTCCTGCTGTCGTTCGAGTGCTGGCCATGATGGTGGTACAGGTGGGAGCTGTTCGTGTATACTTAGGCGTAGTACCGACCGACCAAAAAGAACAGCACGGCACACACCAGCACATGGAAAAACGTGATGGGCTGCATGAGCCGCGATGAGGTATGGAATGGATGAAGGGATGCGCAGCGTACCTTGGCCGCGGGAGGAAGCGCCGACACCGCATCGCCGCGCGTGGGGGAACTAGCGCCGTCGGTCGCGTCAGCAGTCGTCCTTCGCTGTCGCAACGTGCCCATTTCAGTCGTTTGCCGCTTCAACCGCGCCTGCTCCGCTGTGAGTTTTTGGTTCTGCTGACGAAACTTGTCCAAGTCGTTAATCAGCGTGTCTCGCTGCGCCGTCAGTTGCACGGTAAACGCAACCAGCTACAAGAGTCCGTGAATCCAAGGGAGCGCTGTGCAGCAACGTAATCCAGGTACCTCGTCGTACTTCTTGCGAAGGACGGCCATTTCAGAAGCCAATTCGAGAATGCGCTCCGACTCGTCCAACGACGTCGCGGAGGCAGTTCGACCGTTCGTGGAGCTGCTAGGAGCATGACTGGTTGAGGCGCTTACATAGTTGCTCGCGGCGGAATCGGTGGGAGACTTGTCGAGCAGGGCGTTGCTCAGCTGTTGCGGCGTGGTCAACTCGCTGGTCCCTACGTTGCTGCTGCTACTGCTGGCTACAGTTCCTTCCATGAACCGACAGCGCAGTTTCTTGTTACTGATCTGCGTCTTTTCAGCATGGTTCCACAGCGACGTGAGATCATCCATGACTTCCTTCGCTTGCTTCTTCGTTAGCAAATCACAAAATTCCGCTTCCACTCCAACTGACTGCACGAGAAACTTGTCGTTGGAGAGTTGGCGCTCCGTCGGGTCCAATCGCAGCAATTCGTCGCAGTCCTTCTGCTGAAGAATAACAAGCACCGTCGCGGAACTGTTGGGGCCGATCACGCCTTGGTTCGGACGCACCAAGTACCGCATTGGCCGAGTCGTCTTGACCTTGAACGCGATATTTTCGACATTGCTGGGGTTGGAGATGGTCAAAGCAGCCTGCGGCGAGCTACTGGGCGACAGGGCGAACGACAGCGAGTCCACGGGCTCGAGCGTGATCATGTGGCCGGCACCTGACGAGTTCATCCTGGGCCGTCGCTTCTTTCTTCACTGAGGGGATGATATGGCCGTTATGGACAATATTTTTTTGCTCGAGTCGCGTTGTCACGGTTGACGAAAAAAATGTTTTTTTCGACACTTTTGACGAAAATGTTTTTTCTACACTGTTGACGAAAAACGCAATACTTCGATACACACTCTCTCGCCTTGTCGAAAGCAAAATCACTCACTCACGATCCCTTGCACACGAGAAAGTTGCTTCGGCGATACGTAGGTGTCCCTGAGATCCCGCGCACCGCATTTGGAACGTCTGTGCGTTCGTCGCTGACCCGAGAAATTTTTTCCATTTGAGCATTTGCGATGTACTAACAGTACAGGTACTACTAGTACGAATCGCCCACGTACAGTATCGTTCTAATTGGAGTAGTATCACAAATAGTATTACTACAACAACGTTGACGGAAGAAAGAACCAAACTTGTAGCGGGGGCAGCTGCGAGGAATTCCACATACGTGCATCGATCCACAAGTCCGGCCGCGCTCGTCCCACAAACGCGTCAGAAAGACGCTATGTTTAGGACTTACGCTACATAGTCCTGGAGGAAGCATTGCGTGTGCGCGTTGGAGCAATGAATCGACGTTGGTTTGCACAGGTCTGCTGGACTACGCGAGCTCTTGCGGCTTGCCAAAACAAGACGCAAGCAACGTTGGCACTTTTGGCGACGGGAGGCAGAGAGGTTGGTGGGTAATGACAGAATAGCCATACGGGGCATGCGAACTGACGTCGAGGGAGTCGTTGCTGAAGTTGCAACGTGTACTTGCCTCGACAAACCGATGACCATCACATCCCCTCTTCTCAATTCACCATCGCGCTACCTTTTGATGCGATGGGCCAAGGCCTCCCAGCCGTTGCTGCTGGGGCTGAAGAACGCGAGGGCAGGAGGTCGAGCTGCCCTGTTGCAAGGCAAGGACGAGAGTGATGCGCAGACCTTTGTTCAGCTACGCGTAAGATCTTCCAGCGAACGAGTTGAGATTGATCCACGCTTCACGTAAACGCGCCTACCCTCCCTTCCCATTCCTCTCGAGACACGACGCCAACAGTGCAACGGGCGGAACCATGGAGAACTCTTTGCTGCGTGTGACGCACACGGCATCGAATCCGCAGCGCTCGGACAATACCTAGGAGCAATTCATCACAGCACACAGTTGCTACGGCCAAACTCGTTCAAATGCTGCTCGGGGCAATCGACACGGCGAACCGTCGTGGGCAGGAAACGGCCTCGTTGGAAACGGCATTTCATCCATGTCGGTCCGGCAACGAGACCCCATGTACTCGACACGAACCAGGTTCGTTCGTGTGGCCTCGCCAAGCTGCGCATCATCTTTCCCTAGCGTGTCCAAGTTGGTGCAGTCGGTGAAAGCAGAGTCGGACAAGCTCGCGCAGTTTGTCGATGCAGAGAAGCACATCGCGGATGAAGTTGGTGCTTCGTACATCATCGATGCTCACGGTAAACGTGGCCACCATTAGATCCTCCGAGACGCCCCATCCATCCCTACACAACCTGCAGCCGAGCCATCCCTTGTAACTTCGTTGGTTCAGCGTTTGCGTGTGGTGGAGGCGCAGCTTCGTACCCAAGTGGCTGAGCTCCAGTCCAAACAAGAGCAAGTGAATGAACTGAAGGACCAACTGAATCGATCGGTGGTGCGTACCGCCACAAAGCCACCTCATCCCATGGCAATCCTCCGCTCAGGCACCATGTGGATGGTGCGCCGACCATCAAGATGAAGCACAGCATCTCAAGCAGCAAGTCGCAGACATGACAGCGTTCCTGAACGACCATGGCCTAGTTTGGGTTGGACCACCATCGAACACGCTCTCCCCACGCCTTCCCCCGCTCGACGCAGCGTCCACCACGCACGCAGAGGTTCCATGGGCTCTTGATCGTTTTCAAATTGTCATCCCCATTCAAAGATAGCGCAGGTCAACTACGACTTGATTATTGCTCGTGTCAACCAACTCAATGCAGCCGCCGACACCGGCTTCACCGTACGTCGTTCATGGCCGCGCGGTCCAATTACGCTATGCGACCAGGTCGTCAAGGCCAACCGGCACAACCAAGTACTCTAACGTCGCCGTACACAATGACGTGACTGTACCTGGCAGGTCCACCGCCTGCAGCCCCAGGACTCGCTGCCACTGACGCTGTTCAAGGACGGCATCATGGTCTTGCGAGGGCCATTTCGACCATTTCATGAACCGCACGCGACCGAGTTCATTCAAGTACTCGAGAGTTTTCACCAAACTGAACCGACTGACGGGTTGCGCGCGATTCCAGGACATTCTCGACGGCTTCAGTCCTCTCGAATTCCAAGATCGATATCCTGATGGGGTACATTCTTGCATACGCCGAGAGTGCGCCATGGGATGTCATGGGGGATGGCCATCGACTAGGTCGTATTCAACATGCTCGACAAGCGCCACGAATACTTCCGAGCTCCCGTCGACGCGTCGGGGCAGCCGCTACACGATCGTCCAACCAAGGTAGTGTGGCCCACGATGCGTGGTTTACACACGATGGTTCCCGTAGGCGGTGGGGCTTGCGGACGTCGGAAACCCACTGGTAAAGATGCATTTCGTGAGTTGGATTGCGTTGGTGAATTCACATTTGGGATAGCTTCGTTTGCCAACCGACACGTTCTTGATACGACTGCCTGTGTCGACGGTGCGCGATGGCCAAGTTCATGCGATCCGTGACGAGATTGCGCAGTTGCTCCGACCCCCCGTGGATTGCCGTGTTGTGCACATTCCAGGAGGTACGCCCGCCCCCGTGCGTACAGCAAGTCATCATCCCTTGCGTGGCTGCCGTCCGTAGTTGGTGGTGCCAAGCTTGCAACGTTGCGAGTTCGGACGTGGAAGGGAGCGCAGTCGATCCAACTGCACGTCCCGTACACTGCTCGATTGCATCTCGTCAAGCATCAAGTTGCGACCGAAAGGTATGCATTAGGAGGCTGGGCATCGACAGACATTCGTCTGCTGTCGTAGTCGCCTCGCACCCGACTCGTTCGACTTGATCTCGAATTTCCCGTCCAAGGTACCACGACCAAGTCCTTGACGTGGGAGACTCATCCGAGCATGCACATTGTAGGTGTATGAGAATGGCGGGCAGACCGTGGAGGAGGCGGGCCTCATCCCATCGGCGACGCTGCACATTCGAATGCGATAGCGCAAGAGATCGCGGTGACCACGAGGGGAATCAATGCCCAGCGATGATGGCCACCGTCATACGATAAGTCGTGGTGTGGGTTCTGTTGGTTCTTTTTGTTGGCATGGCAGAGCTGTACGCACAGCTTTGTCGCGACCGCTTCAAGTGCAGCGTGGCAGCCCTTACCATCGGCGCATTCGCTGAGGACGGTTGAAAGACATGAATGGATTAATGGGTAAGGCGAATACTCGGCGATGGGATCGCTCAGGACTGCACGACGATGGGAGTCTGGGCTTCGTGGAACGCGGTCATTTCGCACTGGACAAGGGTTGCCTGGTTCGATTCCAGTCGAGACGACTCGTGGGGAATGTCTAACCCGTATGCGTTTTGAATCGACTCGCGGGAGACCACGGCGTCGGCATGGTTCAGGTCCTTGTGGTACGCCTCCAGCAGAAACCAGACCATCGGGACCACGTACAAGGCAGCAATCACATCAAGCGAATAGTGCTTGCGCGCAGCCACGATAAAGAAGGCCGTGATGATCTGAAGTACGAGCATCAAGACGAGGAGCGGGACACTGCGCCAGTATTTCCACACAGCCAGGATCATCGACAACGTGTACGTAGTGTGGGAGCTAAACATGAGGTCGCCGCACCCGTTGAGGGCGTCGACATGGCCGAAAATGGTACCGGCGGTCATGGGGGGCTGAAAGTCTGGGTTGGGCACGACACATCGAAACGATGCGGACGGGTCATTCGGAAACGCGTCGATGCACGTTTGGTTGAACGTTGGACGGCAATGCGCCGCGGGACCAGGAAGCGAAGTGACCATGAACGAAATGCACCGCAGCATCTGCACAAATTGCGCGATGAGATGTCGACGGGAGGCGTAAAGATGCAGATATACCAAGCACAGCGCCGTTTGAAGCAACACGCGCTTGGCAATGAGGGAGAAGAAGCGAGGCGGCGCCGACGGCGATGACGGTTTGATCACCAACACGCTCACAAACAGGAGAATGCTGGGCCCGAAAATCCCTCCAAACACCAAATACTCGGACACATGGGCTTCCGATTCCCTACGCACGTTGTGCGGACGTTGAAGACAAGCACGAGGTCATGCCGCGACGTACGTGAGTTCAGGTAGGAGCTCAAACCCGAGATCATAGAGAGGCATGCGCTGTGCAAGAGATAACTTGGATTGCATCCAGTATGCCGTGTTGTGGAAGATGTTGTGGATGTCTACGACGCACCAAATCAACACACATGCACGCGAGAGGAGAAGGACGCGAGCTACGAACATTGCCACGCTAAGCCAAAGAGCAAGGCTTTCCACTCCAAGAGAAGAACCTTGACCTCGAACACGACGTGCGCCTTGAGCTCGGACCACGATCGACACCGACTCGCCAGGCTCGACAGCTTCATCTGGTCGTCAATTTGATTCTGACCACCATGCTATTTTGAGGAAACGTTTCGCCGAGATGGAAAGCATCGTGAAAAAAAAAGTGTTTTCGGTATGTTGCTCGAATTTAAATTTGCATTTTGTATGTATACCCAAAATGCAGCAAATCCTACGGAATTGAGCAAGTGGTCGAAGGCACGACTGACAAGACCCCCGCGGTTCTCGTGCTGTCCATGCACCCCTTTCTAGCTGCCAAACACCGCGGAAAGAATTTGGACGTGTGCTTTCATCTAGGCAGTGCATGACGCGCATCCTCTTCGTTGTATCGTGTTTGTATTTTTGAATCGCGAGACATTTTTTGTCACATCTCGTCGGACGACGAAGGAATTCGTCCGATACAGAGCGCGATGACGAGAGGTCGGGGCTCAAAAGAAGTCGAAGCATCGCCCCGTGCTTTTGAGGGAAGGTGTCGACAAGAGTTTGCTCGGACGAGTCCAGCCCCTTCGGATTAATTCTTTACCCTCACCACGATGTCGCGTCAAACAAATGCGTGACCAATTGGACTTAAGTGGATCCGCACTTAGAAGTCTACCGAAGACTTAAGAGCTTCGTAAATATATATGCATGAATCACTTTAAGTGCGAGCCCAATGGAGCGCCTTATATCACGGATGTTTGACAATAGTTATGGCGAAATTTTTTTACCAATTCTTGTACTCCGGAATATTTTTGTCGTTTCCTTCTCGAATCCAGTCTCCCCGTGTTGATTTGTGCGAAGAATAGCATACGTATCAGGGCTACGACCGATACATGGCATCGTTACGGCGTGCAATATGCCCAAGTTCCCGCCTGGCCGACCGCATGGACTCACTGGACGAGGGAGGTGTCAATGTCCCTGGCGCCAGGCGCTTCATACCATCGTTTAGCTGGAACGAGGCATTGGAGTACCAACCCAACGGGCGCTGGGACGTCCATGGAAGACGTGGAATCACCCCGTACAGAGCATGCCATCGGCAAGCTTCGCATCGACCACGCGTGGTGAATTGTGCCATGATGTGCGAAAGGTCGTGATAATTTTATCCAATCCAGTGCGATAAGCACATAAATTAGACCAATCAGCGTTGACGACGAACGGTGGTTGGCCGCTGCAGCTTGGGTTCGTGGCGCCGACATCATTCGAGTTCAAGATGGACAAAGACCTGTTCGGGAAGAAGGGCAAAGATCACCGCAAGAGCAAAAGCGGCGCCAAGGTAAACAAAAAGAAGAAGAAGAACCAGGAGCAGCAGGCGGCGCAGGACAAGAATGCCAAGAACAACCCCAAGGCGTTCGGTGTCGCCAAGATTGGCCGAGCCAAGCGCACGATCCAGCGTAACCTCGACAAGGCGCACCAGAAAGAGTACGTGCCAAATGTGAATCGCATCGAGGACACGCCGCCTCCGACCTGCGTCGTTGTCATGGGGCCGCCGGGCAGTGGCAAGTCGACCCTCATCCGGTCGCTTGTAAAGCGGTACACCCGACACAACATCGGCGACATCCATGGCCCGATCACGGTGATTGCCGGCAAGGACAAGCGTATCACATTCTTCGAGTGCCCCAACGACTTGAACGCCATGGTGGTACGTACCACGCGCCCGCCCGCGAATGACTGAGTCCATGTTCGTGGCATCCAGGACTTGGCGAAAATCGCGGACCTCGTGCTCTTGATGGTGGACGCGTCGTTCGGGTTTGAAATGGAAACGTTTGAATTTCTCAATATCCTTCAGGTACGGATTCCACTTGACAGTCCCATTGTCCGCCTGCAATATTTTCATGGCGATGACCAACGTGGTGGTGTTGCTGCTGCGAGTAGGTTGCAGGCTTTCCCAAGGTGATGGGCATCCTCACCCACTTGGACAAGTTCAAGAACAACAAGAGTTTGCGCACGACCAAGAAGCGATTGAAAAGCCGCTTCTGGACCGAAATCTACCAAGGCGCCAAGCTCTTTTACTTTTCCGGCATCGTGTCGAACAAGGTCGCATTCCAATCGATTCGCGCGCGATCTCTCATGTGTGTCGAATGCGTAGTACCCTAAAGGCGAGATCAACAACATGGTGCTGTACATTGCGCGGATGAAGTACCGCCCATTGACGTGGCGCAACTCGCACCCGTACATGCTGGTCGACCGCTTTGAAGATGTGACCCACCCCGACGTGATCCAGCAAAACCCGGTCGCGGACCGAAAAATTACCCTCTACGGGTACCTCCGCGGCACGCATTTGAAGCCCGGCATGAAAATACACGTGGCCGGCGCCGGCGATTTCTTCATGGCGTCTGTTACGTCGCTCCCGGATCCGTGCCCGTTGCCGTCCAAAGTGAACGAACTCACCAAGAAGCACTTGTCGGACAAGGACATCATGCTGTATGCCCCCATGTCCGAGTACGTCCATCTCGTTGGCGCATGACCAGAGCTGACGACCGCTGTAGCGTAGGAAACATCACGTTTGACAAAGACGCGGTGTACATCAACCTGGGCCACGTCAACCATTCGAAGCGAGAAACCCTTGACGTCGACGATTCCGACGACGACAACGACGGGAAGGTCGGATACACGCGTGGAAAGGGCGGCGAAGGAACGGACATGGTCCAGCACCTTCAAGCTATCGAGTCGGGCCTTGGCATGGACGAACGCCTGAAAGGCGCCGAGTTGAGTTTGTTTAAAAACACGGCGGCGATCCGCGCCGATGAATTGGACTCGGACGAGGAGGAACAGGACGATGACGAGGATGACGAGGATGACGAGGACGACGAAGGCGATGACGAGCCGCGTGGACGCCAAAGCACGGCAAAGCCATCCGAGAAAATCGAGCGCGACGCCACCGGGCGTGTTCGCCGCCGCGCGATTTTTAACATGGACGGCCCAGAAGACGATGCCGAGAATGCTGTAGGTGACAACAGCGACGACGAATCGGAAGATGACGAAGATGAGGAATCGGACGAGAGCGACGACGAGATGGTGCCTGCGTCGGAAGCGTCCCAAATGCGGTGGAAGGACAATTTGGTCGAGCGCGCGGCCAAGAATTTCCTCGAGCGCGAAGAAAGCGATATCAACTTGATGGAGTTGGTGTACGGGACTCCCGGGAAACTCCACGTCGCGGACGATGTCGCCAAAACCCACGAGAGCGACGACGATGACTTTTTCACCCTCAAGTCCAAAACGAAAGCCAGTCGTCTCAACGAAGCAGCAGAGGTCGGTCGGCATGAACGGAATCGAAACGTGTTGAATGGTTGCAAGTAGGACGATGAAAACAGCTTGGATAGCTCCAAGTTCCGCCCGGCCCGCACCGACATGAAAGCGTGGGACATGCCCGATCTCTTGGAGAGCTTGCGCAACAAGTTTGTGACGGGAAACTGGCAGAAAAACACCCACGGCGGCGGCGGCGAAGCCGACGACGACGACGAAGTGGGGTCGGACGTCGATGGTTCGTTTGAAGACTTGGAAACGGGCCAAGTCCATGTAGGCAAGGCTGACAAGGAAGAACTCAGCGACGATGACAACGGGCCAACGGAGAACGAGTCCCTGGAAGATATGCGCCAGCGTTTGGGAGAGGAAAAGGCAAGGAAGCGCGCGGCCCTTGACGACGACAACAAGGACGACGAAGAAGTCGATGACGACATGACTGAAATCATGGTCGAAGCCAAGAAGCTCCAGGAAACGCAGGTTTGTAGTCGCGCCATGGTGAAAGATTGTTGAACAATCGGACGTAGGCCCTGCGGAATGCTGAAGAGTTTGGCAAAGAAGGCGAGAATACGCGGCTGCAATTGGAAGGTTTCCGAAATGGTCTGTACGTCCGCATCGAGCTGGACGGCGTCCCGGCTGAATTTGTCACTGGCGCGCTGCCGACGCTCCCCATTCTCGTGGGGGGGCTCTTGCCCCACGAACACGCGCTCGGCCTCATGCGCCTTCGCATCAAGAAGCATCGCTGGCACCGCAAGATCCTCAAGACGAATGACCCGCTCGTGTTTTCGATCGGGTGGCGCCGGTTCCAGTCGTTACCGCTCTTTAGCATCGAAGACACGAACGAGCGCCATCGCTACCTCAAGTACACTCGACCCGCTCGACGACCACCACACGATGACGAGCTGAATGAAATAGGTACACCCCCGAGCACATGCATTGCGGCGCGACAATCTATGCGCCGATCTGCCCCCCCAACACGGGCGTGTTGGCATTCCAAAACATGTCGAACGCTGTCGATGGCTTCCGCGTGAGCGCGACCGGCGTCGTCCTCGAGCTCGACCACACGTTCCACGTGATGAAGAAGCTCAAGTTGATCGGGCACCCGACCAAAATTCACAAAAACACGGCGTTTGTGCGAGGTTTGAAACTCGGTCGATCGCCAGCGTCACCGTGTGTGTGGTTTCAGGCATGTTTAATTCGGAGCTCGAAGTCGCCAAGTTTGAAGGAGCGAGTTTGCGCACGGTCAGCGGCATTCGCGGCCAAGTGAAAAAGGCACAACGCGGCGACAAGGGCGACTTCCGTGCCACGTTTGAGGACAAGATTCTCAAGTCGGACATCATTTTCTGCCGGACGTGGGTGCCCGTTGAGCCCAAGCTCCTGTACAACCCTGTGACGTCGCTGCTGCAGTCGAATTGGCGAGCCATGCGGACGATGCGAGAACTGCGGGCAGCGAACAAACTCGCGATTCCGGTCAACCCAGACTCGGTGTACAAGGTAATCGGAGTTTCATGGCGCTGTTGACCATCGTGTTTGGTGCCATACGTAGCCCATCGTACGACCGGAGCGCCACTTTAATGCGCTCAAGGTACCTGCCAAGCTGCAGGCCAACCTCCCGTTTGCAAGCAAGCCCAAGCTAGACAAGAAGAAATCGTACGTGGCTGTCGTGTGTGTCGTGCGATGGAGATTTGACGAGAGACGAATTTGTCGTTGTAGCACCAAGTCGTACGCAGTGAAGCGGGCGGTGGTCCTCGAGCCGGAAGAGCGAAAGAAGTACACGCTGTTGCAACAAGTCAACACGCTTCGCCGCGACAAACAGGCGCTTCGCACGGCCAAGAACCAGGCGCGGACGGAAGCCAGCTTGAAGCGCAAAGCCCAAGAGGACAAACAGTTTGAAGCGGTCCACAAGGCGGAGAAGAAAGCCAAGTACCGCGCGGCCGGCAAGGACGCCAAGTACAAAGCGTCCAAGGCGTAGATGGAAGAAGTTAAAGATTTCTTCACATACGTGTATCGGCGTGTGGTTGCTGGAATCGTACTGGTCGATAAAGCGTCATGCAAGTGAGTGCAGCTGCACGAGCGCAACAGCAAGGTGGGGTGTCCCTGCCGAGCGGAGAATCGTTGCAGCCGCATTGACAAAAACTAGTCTTGTACCTTCCACACGAACTCGATTGTCCTCCCGCCTGGCGCGACCAAATGGAAGTGAATGGCCATGGCGAGATATGTCCATGAAGGACCGGCATCTTCCATGCTGTCTGTCCTGCGCTATCCCTCCTGTGCCATCCTTCAACGTGTGACATGCCACTCATGTCAAATGTCCCGACGTGGATCGACGCGACGCCCCCTTTCCAAGTTGGCTCGTCTGGACGGCGACCTCACATCTTTCGCCCCCTCGCGACCGCCTGCCCGCCGAGACCGCGAATTCCATCATGGAGATGGCGTTGCGATTTCGGTTACAGCCGTTACCGTCTCCTAAGTTGGCGCTGTAGACACGGAGACCGTTGCACCACGACCCTCACGTCCGTGCTTCGACTTCGCCGCCGCTTCGCCTACGGTCCCGACTTCGCGGTGCTTCGCTCGACTCCTCGTCACCCATGGGCAATGACGTGTCGTGTGTGGACGTCCTGCGCAACACGCCGTTCGCGATGTTCCTCAGTCCCGAAGTTGTCCAAGACATTTCGGTGTGCTTCACCCCCATCAAGTTCAAACCTGGCGCCACGATTGCCTTTACAAAGCAGGAATTCCTCATCGTGGCGCGGGGCAGCGTCGACGTGAGCACGATCTTGCCGCACGCGCAGAAAAAGGTCAAAGTCATGGAGCTTCTTTGCAAGAAGCGGGTCGGCGACATCGTAACCCATTGCGCCACGCGGACGAGTCGCAGCAAGCTCCATCGCAAAAGCTACATTGAACAACACGAGCGCAGATACTCTGGCGGCAAGAAATTCGCGCTCATGCTGGATCTCGTCACGGTGCGTTCTCGTTCGCTCAACCATGATGTTGTGATGACCATCTAGGTGACTGCCGACCCTGCCGACGGATGCGTCTTGCTGCGGCTAAATCGCGACAAATTTGTCCGAGTGCGAGCGCTGCACATGATGCACCGCCCCAACGTACTCGACTACCCTGCCATTCTTGACGTGTTTACACTTACTCGTCCAGGTCACGACGCAATTTTCCATTAATAAAGCAACGCGCACTGCCGAGGACGATTGGCGCCTCGTCACCACTGTCGCAGACGACCAGATCGCAGATTACTTGGGTACGTGCTCCATCTCGCGCTGAAATACCCTCTCTAACACTTGCCACGTTGTCTCTAGCGGGCGTCCCATTTTTCTCGGACGTCAAGAGCTCCCGCCTCGTGGCCCTTGCAGGGCTATGCACGTACATGGTTGCTCGAAAAGGTTGGTCATCGTCATCGTTCACTGCGGTGGCTCATGGCCCGGCTAGACGAAGTCGTTTGCAAGGAAAACGACTTGGGCGACAAGTTTTACATTTGCATCACGGGCGTGCTTGCCGTGACCGTCGAGAATGACGTGGATGCCGTGCCGAAGGTCTCCCATCGGTCCATGTCGATCGTGGCTGGGTCCCAGTTTCGGCGGAGCGTCGATAGCCACCGCCCGTCCGTGTCGATGAGCCAGGTCCTGATTCGCCGCATCGCGGACGGCAGCTACTTTGGCGAGATCTCGCTTATCCTCAACATGAAGCGCAGCGCGACGGTGACGGCCGTCGACGACTCGCTTCTCGTGTATATCGACGCTCGTGCATTTCGAAACTTCCTTAAAGTGTGCCCCGACGTCCGCATGCAGATTGAACAAGGTCGGCATATCCGAGCCCATCCAGCGCGCTCATGCCGTGTTCTCTAGTGATCATCAGTCGGCTGCTTCAGATCGCCAGCAAATCCTCCACCGCAACCTTCCTCGCCGCCATGTCCATGGAAAACCATCAACGGCTTGCTCAACTTGGCCAGCTCCTCGAAGTTGCAAGGGGCACGAAATTGATCGTCCACCACGACGACCCTGGTACGAACGATCGAAAACGAACTCACGACAGGCTGGTGACAACACCGCAATTCGATTGTAGTGTTTTACATTGTCCTGAACGGCAAAGTCGAAGTCGACTACGATCTGCCGAGTGGCCACTTGTTTGTGGCCCTCGGGCCCGGCGGGTACTTGAACGAGCTGTCCATGATCCTGCAGACGGGGAGCCTGATCCAGGCCACGGTCCGAGAAGACAGCGTCCTCCTCGCGCTGCACTCGATCCAATTTCACATGTTTTTCAGCACGCTGCCCGAATTTTTTGCCGAGTTCTCGCTCCGATACTTGCAACACGATGCGTCGCTCGAGCACGTCATTAACCACTACGACGCGCACGAACTGTGGCTCGTGTACCTCGAAGGCCGGCCCGACAGCTACGAAGAGCGCATTCGGTACCGAGGCTTGGCTCAACTCTTCAAATACTCACACGACACACAGGCACATCACGAACGGCGTGCTATTCTGTGAAGATGCGGACGAGTTTACGATGTCCTGTGAGTCGCTCTCGCGCGAAGCCCGCGTTGAACAAGCAAAGCAAGTGGTCGAGATGTATTTTGACAAGGGCTGCGAGAGACCTGTAAGTGACTGAGATGGAGCATCGGTCTAAGCGGTCAACGACCAGGTCGCACTGTCACGTTCCCTGCGTGAAGATATCTACGCTGCCATCGAAGCTTCGTCCATCGATGACACACTGTTTTCCCATGCGCGGCGCGAGATCATCGATCTCATGGACGCGTCTGTCCTGGCCGACTTCAAGCGGTCAACCAAGTTTGCATCCGTTCTGACCAAGCTCGTCTGCCTCCCAGACATCCCAGTTCACCTGTCCTCGGCCATGAAGGCCCATTTGAACTTTCACGTGTTCAAGCATCGGCCATCCCATGCTGTCACGAACAACTACGCATGGGTGAGCGCGACCCCACGATAAAGCACCAGCCTTGACGATTGAATGCGATATCTATGTAAATTACTCGACGATGGTTATTACGAGCCAGCTCGTGTGCTTGAGCCACGACTTTTCCAGCTGCCACGTGATGTGGCGGTCGCGAAAACATGGCCGTCGGTTCACTCGTGCGATCTGCCGCGCCGCGCACTTCTCCGCCTCGCTGACTTGCCCCCATGCACAGTAGAGCGACAAACCCAGCGTGCAGATGCAGCAGCCATAGCTCGTGGACCAACATGGCACGCACGGCCACAAGTCGTGGAGCGCTTGATTTATCGTTTCCAAAGCTTTGTCAAAGTCCTCTTTGCTCATGTACACTTCGATTTCGGGAGGGAATGTCGACGTGTCGTACTCATTCGAAAGGCCATTTACCCAGACATCTCCAACGGCGGGGATGCGGCAGAGTTCCTTGCAGTTCGCCTCCGGTGCCAGGGACACTGACGCCTCTGCGGCGTCCATGTTGAATTTGCAGAGATTGTCCGGATAAATCTCCTCGGCTTGTGTTCGAGTTCCGGATACGACGATTTTGACGTTTCGCGAGAAACAAATGAAAGCGAGGGAAATGGTCGCAAGGATGACGGGGCATGCGGGGAAGCTTGGCTTGCCCCGAGAATGCATCCACATTGTCGCGTCCTACTTGGATCACTTGGCACTGCATGCGATGGAGATGACGTGCCGTACGTTCTTCGAAAGTGGCATCCACGGAGGTAATGACTCGTGCGTTTGACGTCCTCGTTGACGGGGACCACAGCGTATTGGAGAATGAGTGCATTGCGTGAAGCGGTTGTGATTCCCACCGAGCACACCATGGATTGGAAGACACTGGCATGCTCTTGTGTCAATTTGGATGCACAGCAGACCGCTGGGCTCCTCGGTAACGTCGTCGGTACGTCATACGTCTGGCACTGCATACAGTCGCGTGATCCATCACAAGGCGATTGCGATATGATCATAGCGTTCTCGTCTGTCGACCGACCACGTGAAGAAGGGGCCAAAAACACGTTACGAGTGTCACGGTGCTTTCGGCGGATGCGAGCGCGCAGCGATGACGGCCCCCAACAAGCCCTGCTCAATTACACATTGCAAACGTACGGCGGACTCGCATTCCGAGCGATTGTTCTGACCGTTGTGTGCACCAGCCTCATCTGCGGATGCTCTCAAGGCGATTGCTACTGGAGCAGCGCACCTTCCGCGTCGGAGATCCAAGACGACTACATTGACTACACACTTGTCGATCGATGCATTATTCGCGCGATAGACATCGTGCCGTACAAGGCATTTTGGCAGATGGGCGAGCCAGGGTATGCACCGATGAAGGTGTCCATCTCGTTCTTTACCCCTGGGGATTCGTCGAATGCAGACCGATGCATGTATTACACTTCTCCTTCCTTCGACGTCGTCAATCGAATGGAGGTACGCGCACACCACCGTACCCTTCTCATCACGGCGTCGTGGTAGATGCAAACGTTCTTCCTGCCAAGGCTTGTTCTCGCCCAGGCAAACACGCATGTCCGCGTGAACTTCCATGGCAAGCAACAGTTCGAATACGTCGACGCGGTGGACTACCCGCGGCGCTACTTCTGCTGCATCAGCCATGTCGGTGTCAACGGAATTTTGTTGCCCTTGAACGCAGAATTGCATTGACCAATGAAAAATCAAAAGAACTTCTCTCTGACATGTGATTGGATAATGTGAAGATATGAACCATTGGAGTGTCGGAACCAATCAAGTCGCCCTCTTGAAATATTTTCATCCAATAAAATTGAATCATTTTGCAACCGACGAAGCTCCACCATGTACGAAACGGTTGTCCCGCCAACGCACCAAGATGGCCGACGAGGTGGAGGAAGGAGCATCCCCGCTGAGCGCACGCCCTGCACATAGGCTCGAGCCTCCGTTGACAGCGAAGAACTACCTTCTTCACAAGCTTTACTTGCGACAGGAATACGCGGAATGCCTCAAACTCATTGAAGAGATGCTCAAAGAGCATCAAGGGCTGTGCGAATACCCCATATATGTCAAAGGTACGCGAATTGCATGGATCGTCCAGTGGCGTGACAACACAATGCGCGTAGCGTTGATCATGCAACGCAGCGGTCGTATTCAAGAGTCGTTGCAGCTCTTCCAAGCAGCGACATGCTTGAACCCAGACAACAAGGACAACTTGAAGCAAGTCGGGCGGTCGTTGTATTTGCTGGGAAAGCACAAAGCTGCGATAGAGGTGTACGAGGAGACAAAGAAGTTGGCTGGACCTGATGACTGGGAGATTCACCACAACATTGGGCTGTGCCACATGTACCTCAAGAGCTACGACCTCGCTATCGAGTCGTTCCAGAACGCAAACAACATCCATCGCCACGACACGACATTTCTCCAGCTCGGAAAGGTCCACACCCTTCGCGAAGACTTCAAGGCCGCCATAAACGTTTACTTGGAAGCGCTCGAGTTTTCTCCGGAGAACCCCGAGTTACTCACGACCGTCGGGCTGCTCTACCTCCGCATCGGCGAAAACTTTCGCGCTTTCGACTACCTCGGGAATTCCATGACTCATGATCCTCGGAATGCCAAAGTACGTTCCTTCTATTTCAACCAAGACAGTGCTTTCGTGGTTGAAGGGTTGCCCATAGACCATTCTGGCGGCCGGATCCATCATTCAAGACCATGGTGACATGGACGTCGCACTGGTGAAGTACCGCGTTGCCGCCGTCCAGGTGGGACCGTGTCTTGCGTCTAACGGAATCATGATGGAGTGTGCTTCTAGACACCAAACTCGGCGCAGCTGTGGAATAACATCGGCATGTGCTTCTTCGGCAAGCAACGATATGTCGCGGTACTTTCCACGTCGTTCATGTTGGGGTTTCCGTGGCTAACTCCATCGCCGCACGCAGGCCGTGGCGAGCCTTAAGCGCGCGCTGTACTTGGACCCGTTTGAATGGATTACGTCGTACAACTTGGGACTGGTCCATCTCAACACGGGCCAGTACGCGTCGGCGTTCCACTACTTTAGCGCAGCGATCAACCTCAAGCCCGACTTTCCCAGCTCGTACATGTACTTGGCGATCACGCTCGGGCGGCTGGACGACTTTGAGAACGCTTGCAGCGCGTATGAGAAAGCGATTGAGATGGAAGCGTAATGCCATCGTCGACCAAGTCGAATATGCGCTGACCAGACTTGTGTGTAGCGACCACTTGTTTCACTTAAACTACGCCGTCACGCTCTTCAACAACGACGAAATCGAGCGCGCCAAGGTCCAGTTTGACAAGTTCGACGCGATCTTTCAAAGCCTCGACGAAGCAACGCAGTCGAGCGATCCTGAAGTCATATCCCAGCGCCAGGCGCTCTTGGAAGCGTTGAACGAGTGAATAGGATTGACCTACAACGCTTGACAATACCCTGGGGAGCGCTATCACAAAGTGCTTTGATGGGCGATGTGGGGCTTGATCATCAGCTCGAGTTGCCGACGCTTGATAAATATGGGACAGGGGGCGTTGTTCATGCCAGCAGGAGCATTCGTCCACGCAATGCCGAAAGAAATACCGACTCGACGGACAAATAGTGCTGCAGCGCAGGGTTCGACGTGTACTTGTCGCGATCGCGTTGAAACTCTAGAATGCGCTGGTCCAGGACGTCCTTGACTTTTTGAAACATATCGTTGCTAAGCGCAAGGGGAGCGGATGGCGGATTTGACCACAGCGACGACAAGTCTGGCAACGAGTGCTGTCGCAGCACAGCTACTTGGTTTTGGAGTTGCTGGACCTGACATACCAATGACGCTTCACGCTCCTCGAGTTCAACGCACGTCATTTGCCATCGTTGACATTCTTCTTGCATCGATTCTGAGTGCGCGAGTCGTTCCCTGCATGAACAAATCCGTGAGTGCCACAAGGAAGCGTCATCGGCTACCTCAAGTTGTTACATTCGACTTGGATGGTTGCACCTGCAACCTTTAAGCTCTCACACTCGAGAAAGCGGCGATGTAATTCCCTTTTGGCGCTCTTGAGCTCGGTGACGTAGTCCTTGACCATGGCGACAAGCGCCGAATTGGATTCTTGCAGCGATTCCACATGACACTTCATACTGTCCAAGTTGTGTTGCATTTTGCCGACTGCCTTCAAGTGGTCTTGTTGGATCGATGCTGCATTTTCATGCAGTTGCGCCAACTCTTGGTCTTGGGAATCCACCAGATGCAGTAAACTCGCTGTCTGGTCGCGCCACTTGCCTTCTTGGACAATCAACACACGCTTCAATTCGTTAATTGTGTTTTGGTGTTCGGCCAGATGACCCAGACATCGCTTGTGTTCACTTGTGACGCGTGAAAGCTCTTGCTGGAGGGAAATGATGTGCGGGTTGGCGTCGCCTTGCTCATTCATATGCAATTGCCGATCATTAACGAACTCGAGCCACAATGGATCGGTCGCCATCGAGTCCACTCGCGCCTGGAGGCCTCGGATTATGTCTTGAAGTCGACTTTGTTGGACGATATTGTCTTCTTGAAGCATGACGAGCCGCTCGTTGGATTGAGAATTCAAAGCGGCGAGATTGCGCAACTTTTGCATAACGTTGGAGTACTTCTGCCCCGTTTGAGCCAGAACGTCGCGTTGCTGATAATTTACCTGCTCAAGAGCGGCGAAGTCTTCCTGGAGATGAGCGTACTCGATTTGCATATCCTCGGCACATTCTCGTTCGCGCGTGTACTTGTTGAGTAACTCGTTGTAGTTGTCGCGAAGGCGGACTGTGTCTTCCTGCAGCACCCGCTGAAAGAGACGCCTGTGCTGCAAGCGCATGGCGCTGATGTCATGCTCCAGCCGCAATTCTGTGACAATCATGGCGTTCGATTGAGCCCGGTCTTGCAGGAGTTTCAATGAACGTCGTAGCACAGAAACGTCTGCGGACTGGGTTGACACGAGCATACAAAGTTGTTCCGTTTTTAGTCGCAGTACGTCATCGAGCGGAAGACGATCGAGATGAAGCTTAACCTGCTGCACAAGCGACAGCGAAGTAGCCAACCGGCATTGAGATGATGTTGGAGCATTGTCAAAGGACCCGATGAAATTGGTACTTGACAGCTCTGTCGTGTTGGTCAACGTAGACGAACCGTTGCGATGGATGCCATCCGTCAGGTGAGGCGACTGCTCAATATTCAATTCCATATCGTTGCTTAGAGCATCTTTGGCTTCATATTTGTCGATCAGGCGTTGCTTTGCTTCGAGTAACTGTGTCTGCCAATCCAACTTGTGTGCTTGGATCTGGTACTCTTTACTTATGTTCTGGAGGAGGTCCAAGATCCGAGCTTTGTTGTCTGCAGTGAGGACGACCGCGTCACGTGGGATAGCTGTGAGATCCATGATGTCTAAGGACACATACAATCAGCACGATACCATACAAAGCATTTATTCATCATCCCATCTACCTTGAAAGCAGCCCATGCCCCCGATTTCCTCAGGACGGCCACTTCCTTCGGTCACCGACGACATTGCGCGTCCTTCTCCCATGAGTGCGCGCGATATTTCAAAACCTCGATAGTGGCAAATGAGAACTAGTGCATTATTATTCCTCACTAGATGAATAAGCTTGCTTTTTGTAGGACATGTAGATTCTTCAAAAAATCGAATTTAATGGCAACAACTCATATAACTTATACTGTGCTGAAATCATTTTATAGAGTGCTTTGGCTTTAGGACATCGTCATCCTTCGACCATGTCGGCGCAATTCCTCAAGGCCGCAGGTACGACCGTTCAGTGGATGAAGAGCAACTCCATGACATGGAAACGTAGCGAGCGGCGATATCGATCGAGCAAAGGACTTGATTCAGCACATCCACTTTCAGAACAAGAAAGGCGAGTCAGGTGTGTCCTGTCCATGGATGGACACGTGAGGGTGTGTTGGCTGACCGCGTCGTTTGTGGCCATGTAGCTCTTCATGTTGCGATTTCAGAGGGTGAGCTGAGCATGGTTGAGTTCCTGTGCAACCAAGGCGCGAATGTGAACTTGCAAGATAAGAAGGGTGGGAACACGACGATCATGCTGACACTGGCTCAACAACCTCGTCACTTCCTGGCCATTTTGGAGGTATGCTCGCTGGCCACTGCCATGCAAACATAACATCCTATTCCGCGCGCAGGTCCTTCTGAAGCATCAACCCGACTTGACGCTCAAGGACACGACGGGGCAGACCGCTCTGCACCTCGCTGTGCGTACGTCAGAATCGATGGAGTTTGTACATTCTCATCACAATTTTTTTCTGCAGAATACGGAAGCACCAACGCCGTCGAGTTGCTGCTTGCGTCCAAGACGAACCAGGACATTCGCGACTCCAAAGGCATGACCCCCTTGCTCGTAGCTGCTGGGAAGGGCGGCGTGCACATCGTGGAGCTCTTGGTACATTGCCGTCATCCTGTCCTTGCTCGCTTATGCAGTTGAATTAGGTTTCGAAGGGCCACAACATCCATGCTGTCGATTGCAAGGGCAACTCCGCGTTGTAAGCCTCCTCCATGGCCCCACGAGTCGTTCTCACCACGCCACACGGCAGGCATTGGGCCATCGCGTCTCTCGACGTGACAACGTACTTGGTGTCGAAGGTAGACCGTTTCCAGGACATCATGAGCATGACGATGGTGGGCATAGGGTGCGAAAGCGGTGACAAACCAGCTCGGGAATACCCCCTTGCATGCCGAGGCGCTTCGTTCGGATGGAACGTGGCCAACCGACGTCGCACAATTCCTCCTCGCTTCGTTTCCCGAGATCGCCGCGCTGAAAAACGCCAAGGGCAAGACCGCAGACGACCTTGTTGGTGATGTCGACGACGCAGTGGCCCCCACTCCCTCGAAACAAACGTCGAAGGGGTCAGCAAAAGGCCGAAGTCGGAAGCACAACAACGATGACGACGGCCCAAGCGTCGTGGCGATTCAAAATGCGAAAGCAGGTGCGTCACGACGGATGGATGCTTGCCCCACAGTCTTAACGATCGCGTAGCTATGATGGCCCGTGTGAAGGAACGTGCGCAAAAGCGGCGGTCTTTAATTCCTGAAGACGACACAGATGCCGTGGAACCTATCAAGCCCCAGGATGCGCTCTCTCCTCCCGTGGCGAACACCACGAGTACATGGACAATGGCGCTGATTGTTGCTGTCGTCATCGCCTTTTTCGCCGCCGTCTACGCCATGCTCGAAGCTTCCGCGGCTAAATAGTCCCAACGATCACCATGTTCTCATCAGAAAGCTTGACTTCCCACAGCTTACGTGTCCCCATGCATCGTGCGGTGTCTGTCCGACGACGCCGCGGCTGCGGAACTCAACGGGATGTAAAATTAGTCTACCGGATGTTTATCCGAATTTTTAGTGTAGGAATTTGTATGCGAATGTTGGAACGTTGGCTTGCTCTCCACATTTTGTCGCGAGATGGACAACACAGTGCTCGGACGCTTGGATCACTGGGCCGCCCACCAGCCCAAGAAGGTACGTCCCGACCTCAGACATAGCATGCCGACGCCCGCGTAGAATCTCTTTGCCTTTGTGGACGATAACGGTCGCGTCACGGACAGCTTGCTCTACGAGGTACACGAGTAAGGTATGCAAACGGCATCATCTTACGGATCGCACGACGTCAGGACGTCCACACGCGCAGCGCAAACTTGGCGAAATGGATGCTTACCAGTCCTAGTGTGTCGTCCCAAGGGTTCGTCGGACGTGGAACTTCGTGTGGGCGGCGTTTTCATTTGCGCTGTTACGATATTGTAGTCTCGGTCTCTCGCGTGGGGACATTGTGCTGTTGGTGTATCCTCCAGGGTTGGATTTCATCGTTGCGTTCTTGGCGTGTTTGCGGGCGGGCGTCGTGGCTGTGCCCGTGTATCCCCCAGGCATGCTCGTCATCTCGTTCCATGTTCAACGATCGCGTTAGATCCGCGCAAGTTGCGCAAGGATATCGTGATGTTCACGACCGTGTGCTCAAACTCTGGCGCCAAAATCGCTTTGACAAATTCGGCGTACAATTACGCAAAGAAAGTGCTCGACATCAAGCAAAAGGTCACGTTCTCGGAGAAATTCGCATGGCCCGACCTCCATTGGATGGAAACGAACGGGCAACTCGAGTCGACAGCACCTCCGCCGCTTGCCATCCCGCCACCATCTCCGAACGACTTGGCATTCCTGCAGTACACGTCTGGGTCGACATCCGACCCCAAGGTTCGACTTTGCCAGTCGACGCCACGTCACACCCAGCGTAGGGCGTGATGATCTCTCACGGGAACCTCGGCCACAACTTGACGCTGATTTCAACAGCGCTGAGCGCCACAGACGACTCGATTGTCGTGTCGTGGCTGCCGCAGTATCACGACATGGGGCTCATCGGCGCGTACTTGGGCGTGCTGTTCACAGGTAGTTGCATGGCTTGATCCCGTGTCGAGCACATGACGCGATCGACGACCGAACGTGTCATGCTGACATTTCAGGCGGCCATGGTGTGTACATGTCTCCGTTTAGCTTCATCAAGAACCCGTCGGGGTGGCTTCGACTCATTTCGCAACACCACGCGACCCACTTGCAGGCGCCAAACTTTGCCTATGCCCTGTGCGCTCGCAAATTTGTTGCCGGAACGGCGCCGCTGGATCTGTCGTCCGTACGACACATGATCAATGGCGCGGAGCCCATCGACGGGGATGCCGTCGACGCGTTCTACAAAGTGTTTAAGCCGTTTGGCCTTTGCGACGGCGTTATTCGACCAACGTACGGACTCGCGGAGCACACCGTGTACGTGTGCGATAGTTCTCCGCACTTGTTGCGCGTCGTTGTCGACAAGGATGCGCTCGAACACCACGACAAGTTTGTCCCGATTGAAGGGACTTCGAGTGGAGGCGTCAAGGAAATGGTGGGGTGCGGCAAGCCTCGGCCTGGAGTCGATCTGCGCATTGTTCACCCGGCATCGCACGCCAGTGTACCGACCGGCACGGTTGGCGAGATTTGGATTCGCAGCTCGAGCACGACGCAAGGGTACTTTGGTCTGGACGAGTTGACTCGAGAGATGTTTGGTGCAACGATCGCAAACGAACCAACGGACCACTTTTTCATGCGCACGGGCGATCTCGGCGTGCTTTACCAAGGCGAGGTACGGGCGTCGAGACGTACACATGGCCATCTCACAACGGATTTCGTAGCTGTTTGTATGCGGCCGGCTGAAAGACTTGATCATCGTCCGCGGCCGCAACCACTACCCTCAAGTACGCGATCTACCCCCTCTTTGTTCATCGTGACGACTCACAGGCGTAACACTTGGCCAGGATATTGAAAAAACTGTCGAAGGGTTTCCAGATATCCGCCCGGGCTGTTCCGCGGCATTTTCCATGTCCCTGCAAGGCCAGGAAGTGCTGGGGGTAGTCGCTGAAGTACGAGGGGCGCAAATGGCTCAACCCACCCTCGAAGCCATCGCAGCATCGATCCGTCAGGCTGTGTCGGTCGAGCATGGCGTGCTCGTGTCGGCGATGGCGCTGGTCGCCACCCATACGATTCCCAAAACCACCAGCGGCAAGATCTCTCGCCGGCGTGCTAAAGTCGATTTTGTCGATCGCAAGTTGACCGAACTGTATCGCCTGGTCAAGACCGTCGACACAAACGACGATCCCCAAGACGACGCTGCCGCGCTACCGCCGACGATCCTGCCAGAGTTTTCAAGCGTCCCGCCCGCAGAAGTCAAATCGTTTCTTCGTCGTGAGATTGCACAAATGCTCGATGCGTCCCACGACACGATCACGGACGCGACAGAGCTGCAACAAGTGGGAGAATGCCCCAATCATGGTCGTGACAAGTCATGGCGAGCTGTTGTAGGTCGGGATGGACTCGATGGGCCTCACACAATTGCAAGGCATTGTTCAGAATCAATATGGCCTGCAAGTGCCGGACGACGTCTTGTACGGAGAGCACACAACGCTAGCCCAAGTGTACGTCGCGCTCGCTCGCGTTGCCATGACAGCCCACCCGCAGCCCAATGAAGGTGGCGACAACCAGACATCGTTTCTGCAAGATTCCCAGCCACCAACGACTCCAAAATCCCGCATCTGCTGCGGATGCATTGCCATTCGATAAATGGGTCAGGTGATAATTCATCTTGACGCCATGCTCTTGTTCCAGATGTGTGTGCGATACTTTGTTACCACGGCATGCTTGTCATGCTGTGTTGGGACGCATCCGCGTGTGCGACAATTTGGGAAGGGCTTGCGTGGCTGCATGTGCACGACTCCCCCTCGCACCGCCGCTCTTCCCGACAATTGTGGCACGTTTGCAAACGCGTGAACATGTCCGCGAAGGGAATCGCCACTGGATGGACTCCGAAACACGAGTGTATGGATGTGCTATACGATCGTTTCGATTAGATGGCTTTGGCAGCTCGCTGGAGCGACGACTGCCGCTGGCGCAAGTGGGCCGTACTCTCGGGAGTGAAGGCGGCGGCATCGAATGCTTGCACGATAGTTGCGTCGTCGGGGTCGCAGAACGCACGGCTGTCGTCATGGCTGTCGTCGTCTGCCCCATCGTCGCTGGCGAGACCCTCCAGCTGCTGCTCGTCTTGGTCTATGTCGTCGTCGTTCGAGGCATCGTCTAGTTGATCGACCGGTGGACACGTCAAGTACAAGTACAAGACAAAGCACCAAAACACTTCAGCGCATGCAATGTTGGCGATTGCGATCGTCGACGTGAGGGCAAACCAGTGGTACATGAGGTACCGTAGACCCGAGAGCTGCGCCACGATGCTCAGCGACGCCCGGACAATTTGAACGCGGGGATGGCTGAGCTCGACACGGACGGCTGTCAGCGGTCGATGCCGCAAATCCTTATATCCGTTGATGGCCAGAATGGATTGAGCCTGGCTCGTATGACCGTGGTGCCCCAGCGCTAGAGTTGGAAAGAGCCACACGAGACGAGCGCTAAGGTCGACCACCCAGTGACCCGGTCGCACAAACACCGGACGCGCACTTCGAGCAGTGGCAACGTTGCCAGGGGACAGCACTTCTGTTCGAACCATGAACATCCCAATGTCGACGTTCGTGTCAGACTCCGCAAGCTCCAAGTCCACGACGACGTCGTACTTGGCTCCTGGCGTGAGGACGCCTCGGTTGTCCGCCTCTCCAGCATCGTCAGGGTCGATGTACGTCCATTGGTCCCGGCCGGTTGCTCCAGTGGTCAAGTCGAGAGTTGCGGTGGGCAGTTGAATCGTCGACGCGGCAGGGTTGTCCCGGTGGGTGTAGTGGACGTGCTCGTTCGCGTGGAGCACGAGGCTGTGGACGCCATAGTCAAAGTACAGTGGTCTACGGACACGAGGTCAGACCGTGTTCGATACGGTGGGTGGAGCCAAACCGTTGCAAGATCTTGGTCGGCATTATCACGTAGTACACGCAGGCATAGACGGCTGACGCCGACGTGAGCAGCAACACCAGCGCTGTCATGAGTTGCATAAACCGAAGGAACATACGCAGTGAGAACGACGACAAGTCCCGGATGGCATCGCTCAACTCGGACACACGGATGCGCTCAATGGCAGCTTCGGTGTGGCTGGCAATCGTCGGCCACTGCGCCACGAATACCGACCACATGTAGCTCACAACTCTGCTCGTCATGATCGTCGTCGTTTCCTGTTGATTGTGATGCCAGAGTGCACAAAATGACGTTTCTCAACGGTGTATTTATTTAATTCCATTCAAATGTCAAGTATATATTGCATTTTATTTCAAATGCCGAGACCTTCCTTGCTCATTCGCTGAAATTCCACCAATCACATGCACTTTTTCGTCGCCAAACGCCCAAAGGTTGCGTCAACAGAACCGTGGCAACAGACACGCACACCAACTTGCCGCGGGCGCGCCGTCAAAGCCATCCATCCCCTTGCTGGAGTTCTCTTGGCAATCAAGACAAGTGAACAAGGTGGGCGGCAGACCGTCCTGACATGTTTCCATCACGGCGTCTCTTGAACTTTTGCGTGTGGCTGTGTGTAGAACGACAGCCAAGCAGAGGGTTACCGGCAGCAAGCGATCAGCAAGCGACTCAGGACCAAGGACGCAAACCGAGAAGTGAATTGATGTTGTTCATAATGCTCCTTTCCTATGTTCAGTTGTTCTTCCTACTGGCGTATGCATGACGAGCTTGAAGCTCGTCCTTTAACGACGCTATACCGTCGCTGGTAGACATCAACAACGCAATGATGATCTTGGCCATGACCTTTCGTCACCTAGTTCTTCGTTTCCGGATCCGAATGCCTTGTCTTCCATGAGCGCGGGAAACTTCAACAGCGTCCACGGAGCTGAACTACAACAGCCTATTTTGGCAGCGACAACATGCTCGCCGACCTCGTCAAGTGTAGAGAATAGAACATTGGACATGACGACCCAAGGAGCGCATTGGCAAGAGCGAGTGCGTCGGACAATCGATGGTAGTGCAATCTGAGACTCTTGTGAAAGCGATGTACTACCACATGCTCCGTGCAACCACGATGGACATCCTTCCGAGTGCTATCCGTCCAAGTCCATCGTGACCAAGCTGTCCATGTTGTGACCCTGCGCGCGAAAAAGATCGCGTCGTTGGCGCGTCAAAGTGCTGAACGCATGAGAGATGGGCGGCGCACCTGACCAGCGCCATGTCGCCACGGGCGGCGGCACCGTTGGTCGCCGCTCAACGGTTCTCACATCGAAGGACGACGACATACATTCCACGATTCCTTCAACATGTACGATTATCCGGATAGACATGTCAAGCACACGAGAATGAGCAGCACAGGCGACGCCGACGACAAACCTTTGCCAGACTCTGCGTGGCTGCATCCCGTGCTGGAGCTGTCTGTCGTGCGAAAGAACGTTGAGGCATTCAAGGAAGAAACAGTGGCGATGCTTCTTGCGCGGGTCTGCGGGCAAGGGATCATTCCATCTACGTGGAATGTCGGACCCGGCAAGAGGCGCAAGGGCATCCAAGTGTTCTGGGGAGATGTGCAGAATAGCGAATGGCCTGCCATGAAGACTGTAGGAAAGGTCCAGGCGTCGGTTGACACGTGTGCACGCATCCTGGCAGATATCAAGATGGGACCACGCCTCGACAAGTTCACGAGGACCGGGAGCGTGGTCCACACATTTGACGACACCACCGATTTACGATACTTTGAGACGCATGGGTTCATGATCATCGATCCGCGCGACTTTTGTGTCGTCACGACTACCAAGCGCCTTCCCGATGGACGGATCGCCATCGCGTCTCGCTCCATCACGTCTGCCGACGAATTCGGGAGGAAGACAGGGTATTCCCGCGCCCACGCGCTCTTGACAGGATATCTCTTGATTCCCCACGCGAGTGACCCAGCGAAATGCGACGCGATCGTGTACGCCCACGTCGACTTTGGCGGAACGTTTCCATCCGGCCTCATCAAGCTGTTTGGGTTGTCGGCGCCAATCAAGATTTTCGAGCAGCTGCAAAAGATGGCTGCCGAAGACCCGACGGTCGCCCCAGCAACGTCCACTTAAGCGGTGTAAGGAATGAGATTGCCATCAAGAAGGGCAGACGGGCACGGCGGACAACCCCATGGATTTCATGAGGGAGAGCAGCGCCATGTTCAAGTCTTTTCCACAAGTTCGGCACGTCAAGTTGGTAAGACGTCGAATGTGCCAAGATGTAAGCTAACCCGTTCCTCTTTTCCCATCTTGGTGTGGAGCCGATACGGCCGTTGCTGTCGGCGCTGTGATTCGGCTGGTCCGCGTGCATCGCAAGGCGCATCTGAAGTTGCCATGAATCGTTGGGATCGTATCGTCCAGGCGCCGAGATGTTGTCGTGAGTGCATGCCGCCTCACGTTTGAGCATTACACAGAGAAGGCCTCGACGCATTGGGATGAACAAATGGGCGTGACTCGCTGGACAAGAGCGACGTGGCTCGGAAGTTCATCGCACGTGGCTGAGTGCAAAGTCGGACGTGGATCTCGGTGACATGGATCGATGTGGTTACAATGATTCGGTGGCGAAAGACGCATGGCGACGAATCCATCGGATTCAGCTATCACGACGCTCTCGTTCGAGGGGCAGAGCGATTACTGCTCGAAAGTTCCTGAGCGACTCTGATTGCGCCATGAGCGCATTCCAACGCACAACGCGATTCACGTGGCGGCACCGCGGTGAAAAATGGGTGGACCGTGGTCATTGTCACGATGGCCAAGACAGCGTGTTTCATGGCTCTCTTTAACAATGGGCTAGTGTTCTGGGTGGGGCTCCAACGGCAAGTTGCGCACGGCAAGGGTCAAAGAGTCCCAGTGCGTGCGGTTCGCAAACAAGTCGACGATTGCCTGGAGCCCATCGGCATCGTCCTGGCGGAATCCGTTCAATTCCGGGCAGTCCAAGTCGAGGACTCCGACCAAGTTGCCGTCCACGACGATTGGGACGACGATCTCAGATGCCGACGCAGAGTCACACGCAATGTGGCCTGGAAACTCGCTCACGTTCGGGATGCGCTGCACACAACTACGTCACATGACGCAGTGCACGGATGCGATTTACCTGGATGACTCGAGTGGAGGCCGCGGTGCCGCAGACTCCGCTGTGCATTTGAATGCGCTTGCACGCGGGTTTTCCGTGAAAGGGTCCGAGCACTAACAGCCTCGTGTTCGACCCTTCCACGGGACGGTTGAGGTAAAACCCAGCCCAGTTCACCGGCCGCTTGGCCTCGAAGAAGGCGCCCCAAATCGCAGCCGATACATTGGCGCAGTTGGCGATGAAGTCTGTTTCGCCCTTGGTGATGGAGTCCACGAGGGCAGTGAGCTTGGTGTAGTCGACTTGGGGCAATGGACCTGACAATATCGCGACGATGAGAGCTCGCTTTGGAGAGAATCAACGACGAACTGTTGGCGACGATGTCTCCAGCATGCCACCCAATGTACCGCACCAGATTGCGTGCGACCTGTCATGGAGACCCTTCAACTTAACAACGACGTGACGCCGTCTTACCAACGCGTCCGACGCATCCAGACCAGCGACGACCTTGCCTTGGGCGTACACTTGGATGTAGGGCAGCTCGCCAACGCCAAGGTCGAACACTTCATCATCATCGATCTGCGATGCGTCGACGCGCACGTACACCTGCATGCCGACACAGTCAAGTAAGTTCACTCACACATCGGACAAACGCCGCACCAAGTCACTGCGCTGAGGGCCAAGGAGCGTTTCCAAATTCGCCTGCGCCTTCTTCGACTTGGCAGCAGACCACGGAGCGTCAAAGAGGACAACAACCTGCTTGGTGGTCTCCGCGGCGATGGTGGCTTGGACGATCTCCCATGTCGTGACGCTCGTCATCGCGCCGGGTGGATTTCGTAGTGGCGCAATCCGTCGATCACAAACGCAGTACGGATAATACATCCGGATATGGTCATTGAGCCAATGAGAATGCCCCGTTTTTGACGTGGCACGTTTCCTGCGAGCCGATTGGTTCGACATAATGGCTTGAGAATTCGATTTGATTCCTGGGTCACTCCGAGGTCATGCTGAGGCGGCGGCACGAAAGCACCCACAGTAAAGTCTGTCGCCCAAACGGAGGCAGGTGCTGCGAGTGAGGTCTCCTTCTTGATCTGCGCAGCCTGGTGGATAGATTGCACCTGTCGTTATGTGCTTGTTGTGTAGAACGCTACAGAAGTGTTGTCGAACGCCGAGGTGGCTGCGACGGTGACGGCCTAAAGAGGGTGCCTATTGCGGTGGAACGAAGGGCCCAAACATCACGATATCGTTGCCGAAAGGTGCCATTTGCACAGGATGAAGACGCGGATATGCTGGAAGCAGCGTCGTAACACCATGCAAGCCGCCGATCTATCGCGCAACTTGGCCAAACGTCCCTGTTGAGGATTCACTTACAAAGATTGGAGCGATCGTGACAATGCCGTGGCTGAGTACCCGACAGTTGGTAGCTTGCGCAGCGAGGCAACTTGTTAGAATGGATGCCCCGCCTTCGACCATCACGCTCGCAATGCCACGTGCATGCACGCGACCTAGTTCACCCTTGTGTTGAACGAGATGCATGACGCCCTCACGTACGGAAAGCGTCCTCGAGGTGTACACGACGAGTTGAAGAGGCAGCGCACAATATGACGATAGCTCCAGCGGCTTCCAACGCAGCCTTTCGCGCCAGTTTATCTGTCCAAACATCAGAACGGTGACGATGCCCTCGACGGCTCACCTTTGCTCCACCCATCGTCAACGGTAAGCAGCCAGGGCTTCGTGCACGTCGGGTGCGTGAAAAGTTTGCATGTGAGGGGGCAAATAAGGTCGCCATCAACAATCAATGGCTGTGGATTCTTTCCTGCGGTTGAGCCATGTCAACAGCAGAAATGCGACCGGAAAGACGTACCTTCGACCAAACGAACAGTGAGTGACGGATTGTCGGCCAGAACAGTCCCGATACCAACGAGTATACCATCGTGCATGGCGCGCAATTGATGGGTCATCGCCATGGAGGCAGCACCGCTGAGAATGGTGGGTTGTCCTAAGGGGGATGTGCAGGGCACGTGATGTCGTCGCCGCGGCAAGGAGCATGTACCTCGCGTGGCAGCAATGGATCCGTCCAGACTCTGGGCGTACGTTAGAGTAACAAAGAGCTGATCTGCCGCCTTCGCCGACGCCAATCCATCCGTCGTGAATGCCGTGATCGCATCCATATTCAATTGCGATCAATTTTGGTTTTTGATTCAACGCATGACGTTTTTACTTTAACGTATGTATCCAACCAACCCGGATTGGTTTCCATTCCGGTTTTAGATTTAACGCTGTGTTGCGTTTTACCGAGACGCAAAATTCGACGATGCACCTTGAAGCGATCGTCGCGCACCATGCATCTACGATCAATGCGCTCGTGCGAACGGTTTGGGTGGTCCTGAGCCTGACTGCGTTCCTGAGCACTGTATTCCCACCGCTTCGTCGCTTGTCTCTCCATGGACGTCTCCAATCGAGCTCGACGCCCTCCGTCCTGATGGTGCACGACTGCAGTCCTGAAAGTGCTCATGTCTGTGATGCTGCTGCAGGTGCGCAAGAGTTGGTTTGGGTACTTCTACTTCGTCGGGTGGACGTGGAATGGTCTCGTCCTTGCGCTCGTCTTCCTGTGGAGCACGTCGCCGTCGTCTCCTTTGGCATGTTCGGGTGCGACGCTCCTCTGCCTTGTGTGCCTCGAATGCCACTTGTTTCGTCGCATGCTGGAGAGTGTGTCCATCACACAATTTGGCAACTCGACCATGCATGCCGCAGGTGCGCTTCCTCGTATTGGCCTCCTCTTCATCTTCGTTACGTAGCCCTGATACTTGGCACGGGGCACTACATTTTGGTGTCGCTGTCGATCGTGTTGGACAACGGCGCCAAGACGCCGCTGTCCTTGGCCTGGTTTGACATCCTCCTTCTTCTCAGCGGCGTCGGGCTCTTCCTCGTCGCCTCTGCACATCAAATGAAATGCAACGCGATCTTGGCGTCGCTGAAAGCCGCGTCGCCGAATCCATCGTACGGCGTCCCGAAGGGCGACTGGTTTGACTTGACGTGGAGTCCGCTCTACTTGTGTGAAGTGCTCCTGTACGTGGCCTTTGTCCTCATGACCCAAGGCCGGAACGAAAACGTTTGGTGGATTGCTCTGTGGGTGTCGACGAACCAAGCCATCTCTGCCCATCGGGGAAAAGGCTGGTACTTGGACACATTTCCAGCCGCTCGCACCGCCCAGCGCGCCACGTTGATTCCTTATGTGTGGTAGCTAGCCATCGCATGCCATGCGCATGCACTTGTCAATACGTCCGAGATGCTTCCATCGCCCGTGCGCTCGACGCACGGAACCACACTCATCGAACTCGCTGCCACGGTGCGAAAGGGAGAGGTACTCGATCGAAGCACATGCTGGCGTACATATTCAAGCACGAGGCAGCTACTGCAGCGACGGCTCTGGCGGGCGGCGGATGGACCCGATCCGTCGGTGGCTACAGCGCTTACAAGTCGACGGCGTAGAGATAGATGGTGGGCTTTCCAGGAGCGGCAACTTCGATCTTCTTGGCGTCGCCGCCTTCCACCGCGGCGTGGCCGTCAACGTAGTAAAACTAAACCCACGTGACCATTCGATGCCACAATCAGCAGACCAACGTACCGCGATGTCATGCAGGTCGAGCGACTTGAGCAAGTACAGCTTGTTGCTCTCGAGGACAGCCTTTTGGTCAAATGGCATGCTGCACCACAATGAGTGTCGACGACGACAACGTTGTCCTCCGTACCTGAGTTCGATGGCCTCGTGACCACGCAGCTCGGCGTCGGCCTTGACAAACGAAGCAAACTGCATCACGTTCTTGGTGTTCTTCTTCAGTGCTTCGTGGTCGTTGAGGAGGAGCTTGAGCTTGGCCATAAAGTCGGCCGGGAACGTCTTCGTCGACTTGTCAAAGAGTCCGGCCATAAACGTGAGCACGGTCTGCTGCCACGTCGGGAACTCGTTGGCGAGGTACACATGGGCATGCGTGGGTTTCTTGGCTTCGACGACAGGTTTCTTCTTGCCCTTGGCAGCATCTCCCTTCATGACAGCGTCGCGGAAGTGCTTGAGGGACTTGGTCAAAAAGTCGCCCGCGCGAAGAAGAGTATAGTCCGTGGGGCCCGTGACGGCGGGCCACGCCGCGTTCGAGACAAACCCGGGCTTGCCCAGCAACTTCCAAAAGTGTTCGCAAATGTGCGGACAGATTGGCGCCAACATGATGGTCTGCGCCTCGATGAACCGCACGATCACGTCCTTGTGCAAGCCAAACTCGCCGCGCGTGCAAATGTCGCGGTAGGCGTCGCGCGCGATCTGGAGCTCGAAGAAGCTCGTCTGGAACCCGTCGCGCCATTGCATCGCGTCAAAGTGCGCCGCCGTCGTCGTGATGATTTCGTCCATTTGCGCGTGAAACATCTTGTCGTTAAAGTTGAGCGCGCCCGTGCGGAGCGCCGCGACGTCGTCCAGCGTCTTCTTGATCCATTCTTCTTCCGTCGTCAAGCGCAAGATCGCCATGTTGGCAGTGTCCCGCGAAAAGTTGGCGTCATCCATCGAGTCGCCGGCGTCGGCGCACGCAAACCGTGTCGCGTCCGCGCCGTACTCGTTGAAACAGTGCTCCAACGTTAAAAAGTTGCCCTTCGACTTGGACATCTTTTCTGCATCCACCAGCACGTGGCCGTTTGTGAAAAAGCTGCGCGGCCACTTGGACGCGTCGTCGGCCCAGATTTCCGCGTGGTTGTACAGGCACATGGTCAAGTGGTTGCGAATCAAGTCCTTGCCTGACACACGCAAGTCGACGGGGTACCAGTACTCGAATTCAGCTTGGAGCTGGCGCCACACGTCCACCGAGATCTTCGAGTTGGTCGGAGCGGGACCCTTCAAAAAGATAAAGTCAAACACTTCCTTGGTCAAGTCGGCCGCCGTGATGCCGTGCGGGCCACCTCTCGAGCCGTCCACGTTGCTCTACGCACAATGAAATCAAAAAATCGAGACAGAAATTGCGGTCGCAACAACGCGGGGGTACCTGCAAGTGGTGCGCGATGGTGTAGTACGCCATGTAAATCGTCGAATCGGACAATGACTCGACAACGAATTCCGTGTCCCAGGGGAGCTTGGTCCCGAGCCCAAACTGGCGGCACGGCGCCCATTCCTTCAACCACTCCAACGTCGATCGGTACTCGCCAAGCGCGATCGGGTTGTACGTGCTGAACGTGTTGGGGTTTTCGATATGCGAGCTCACGCGGGCTTTCCAGTCGTCCGCGCCGTAGAGCAAGTACCACTGGTCCAAATGAGCAACGACGCACTCGTCGCCCGTGCGACTCATGACGGTGGACTCGGGTTCCCAGTACGGGATGGCATGGCCTGCATCGAGGAGCTCCTTGCGAACAGCCGCCTTGGCATCGCACACCTTCTTGCCGGCTTGGCTACCCACAAGCATCACGCCTTCGTAGAACCCCTTGAGGTAGACCAAGTCCTTGGCCTTCGCCAGCTTGTCTTTATCGTTCTGCGATTGAATCTTGAGCTCGTCGCACACTGCGACAGCTGCCGTCGTGCCGTAACCAGGAATGTCAATGATCGGCACGACTTCGAACGGGAGCACCATCTCGTCCGTCAAGTTGTACTTTTCACGCATCGCAGGCTTTTGCTTCAAGTCGCGGAGCGCGGCAAAATCGTCCGGGGCGTCACTCGGCACACTCGTGACGACACCGGTCCCCTTGCCCATCGAGATGGTCAGCAATGGCAGCGTGTACACGGTGTCGTACACGGCGTTCGGCGCCCGCAGCGGCAACCCCAAGAGGTCCCACCCCTTGAGTTCGAGGAGGCATTCCACTTGGCCCCACGTGCGCGAGTAATCTTGATGGGCCAGGTTCAGCGCAGATCGGCGCGAGATCAAAAACACGTCCGTCTCGTTGATGCGGTACGCGCCATAGTCGCCGTCTGGAAGCACAAAGCAGTTTGTTTGGCCATACATGGTCTCTGGGCGCAGCGTCGCCGGCGCCAAGTACACGTTGTACCCGGAGAGCGAACTCAAACGGGCAGGCAACGGCGTTTTCACCGCGAGCTTCACGATCGTGTATTCTTGGGGCCCGACGCCTTCACCGGACGCGCGGTCATGGTCGGCACAGTTCTGTTTGTCCAGCGGCGAGTACACATTGGGCCGTTTGCCGCGGGAGATGCGGGAGCGTTCCTTGAGCGTATTCAATTGCCATCGAATGAAGGCGTCGTAGAACGGATTCACGTCGGTCGTGATGAACGACCGGCGCCAGTCCACTGCAAGCCCGAAGCGGCGCAAGTGAGCTTCGCCAAACGGTGGAAAGTATTGCAGCCAGAAAGTCGGGTCGGTGAACTTGGGGATGAGCTCCTTGTCGTCAATCATTTTGGTTAAGATGTCGTATTGGCGCACGACGCCGCCAGTTTTGGCAACCAACTTGGACTTCTTGCCTTTGGCCTTGTTCTCGGACGTTTGCGCGGCAGGCGCCGGCGGTGGCTCGACGACTTCAATGGGGAATTGAGGGGGAAACCCGAACTCATCCAACTCGGCCTTCAACTTGTTCGCTGCGGCCTGGATCGGCATGCCCGTGCAATGAAACGCAAACGGGAAGAGCGCGTTCTCGCCCTTGAGGCGGTGGTATCGCGTCGCGAACTCGGCCTTCGTGATCGTGAAACCGTGACCAATGTGCATCATCCCGTTCATGTACGGGAACGGAAACGTGGCGAGAAACTTCTTCTTGCCGTCCTCCACGCTGCCTTGAAAGACCTTAGCTTCCTCCCACTGGCGCTGCACATCTTCTTCAATCGCAAGCAAGTGGTTGCGGCGTCCAAACTTCTTCTCTTCGACGGCAATGTCCATGCCGCTGAGCTTGGCAGACACGTAGTCTGCACTCGCCATCCTATTGGAAAGTCCTCTTCGCCACCCGATTGAAACGTGAATTCAGAATGTTGGTTCTTTCCTTTCAGTAAAGTAACAACTCTTTGACCCCACCACCGAAAGACGATGTCAGATCCCACGGAAACGAGGGCAGCACGAGCGCAGCTTAGCTGCCACACAATCGTGAATTTCTCCGAGGAGCTACTCACCGGTGCATCCCTCCTTGGCGTCGATAGAACGTGGCTGAGATGTACAGCAATTCCCTTCATTTAAGTAACTGGAAGTTGGGTAGTGTGCGAGAAAGACCATCACTCCTACGATTTTATTGCACGATCGATCTTGTGGCTGCAGGAAACCCCAAGTTGCGGCGACGGGTTGACGATGGAGCAGCGTGCGGTGGGCGGTGGGCATCTCTGCAAGCGTAGCCGATGTTGTAGCTGCGGAGGAGTGTGTTTTGTTAGAGCGAGTACGGGGCGAAACCATGGAGAGCGGTGTGTTCCTAATGCGGTGAGTCCCACCTCTGACGTGGCATTGTGCACCAAGGCGTTGCTTGGTTCATAAGCGTGGTTAAATGGAACCATCGTGGCTGGCAACAGCAACTTGCCGCGCTGGGGCGGGCTCCATGTCTGGCTGTTGACTCGAGAGGTTGGCGCGTTGAATGGATTCGAAAAGCTTGCGTTGCTCGCCAGGGTCCTTAGCATCCCGAGCGATTGATTTGGCGGCATCAAACAGTTTTGCGTCAACGAATGCATCGACATGCTCACTTCTCGTCACAATCGGCGTCTCTGGCATCATCCAGAGCAATAGCTCGCACTGGTTTGTCTTGACACAGCTGTGTACGACACACCACCAGAATTGCTTTGGATGGACCTAGGTTCAACCCGCGCTGCAATGTTAGCTACGGGCGACGATGCGGAGTCGCCACACCTGGAACAAACTGGCCACCTCCACTGCTTCCAGGACAAGGTTGTCTTCGAAGAACGGGGCCAGCGACACCAAGTTAAAGATCGTCTCGATCACGCTCCGATCGACGAATGCGCTGAGTTGGTTCGTGTCCTTGGCGCTTTTGCACATGAGCCTTTCATCCCACGCCTGCTGCTTCTCCAGTAGCGTTATGTGGTGGCTCAACGTCCGCGAGTAAAATGGCGTGCCTTCTTCCAGCACCTTGGCGATGTGAAGCTGGGCCAACCGAGCATCCATTGTTGGATGACGGTAGGCGAACTTGGCTGCAGCAATGCCGGCCTTGGCAGTCAAGATCTTAGGAATCGCGTCCAGATTGGAATTGCATGTCGCGAGGTGACTGGACCATAACTTGACTGCTCGTTTATAATGCGCAAGTCCATGGCAGAATTCGTCTGGCGACTTGCACGAAGCCTCGAATGCTTGAATTGCTGCGAAGAGCGCGGCGGTGTCATGGTCGCAACGACCGTTCAGGGTTTTGACTGCTTCCTCTTCTGGGGATAGCGTATCTGCATGGAGCGAATCGACCGAATTCGCACGAGATAAGCGTCCAAATGGAATCAACGGTTCAACGGGAGGGACAAACAATGGATGGACCTGCTGGACAAGGATTGCCTGGACTGAAGCCGCGGTCGCCGACGTTTTCACGCGGTGCTTCTTGTCGAACTTGGCAGCAACAAACGTCTGTAGATTCGAGTAGAACGCTGTGATCTCTAGAGGTGTCATGATAATACAGTCTCCGTCGACGTTCTCGTTGGTCGAGAGAAGGGAGCCCATGGCAAGATAGGAGCTCGAAGTTGCCGCGGCGTCGGCCTTGGAAAGATTGGCGATATTTTTGGATCCACTTTCCTTCGACTGATTGGCTAATACCTGAGAATCATTTAAATGTTAGGGTTCTGCAAAATGGATATTTATTTAAGCATATTCATTTAAACGCCATGCAATTCTTGAGAGTTCGGGGTTTCGGGGTTTTGCCATCGCCGACATGCCTGTCACTAGATGGTGTGGTGTCGTCGGTTTGTGCGGACCTGTTCAGGTCGACGGAGATCGGCACTTGGTCCAGGCCAGTGCACGATACCAGTTTATGAGCGGAATTCATTCGCTGATTGCCGTCGCCCTTGAGTCTACAAACCTCGAAACGGGGTCAGCACGTTGTCGGGTCCAAGGAAGTTTTAAAACAGAGAACGTGACAGTGTCTCGGATAGGACTTGCCACCACGAAGTCTCGGGAGAAGGTTGTTCGGAATGTTTCGTCTCGCGCAACTCGTTGAAGCAAGTGAACTGCATTTTTTGGTTTGGTCAGCTCTAGTGCTATCGCCAGTGTGGCGCCGCCATAAGCAGCTCGATCGAACGCTACGAAGGAAGGGCATAACCAAAGGATGCAAAAAAGACCCTCCATTCAGCACTAGGCACGTCTTGGGTCGTTAATTCGTGCTGACGAGGGCCCGAGTCAACAACTCCTATCAACATCATCAGTGCTTGCCTTCCGTTGCTTCGACCATGCTTCATACGCTTTACAAATATGCCTACTTCTTTGGTCGGCGCCAGATATTCTGACAGCTAGGAGACCTTCCTCCATTTCGGCCAAGAGTTGTAGCGCCCCGCACTTTGGGCTATGCGCTGCTATCCTGGTCTTGTTATTGTGGTGTGGATGACGTTGGCTCGTGTGGGGAGGCGGAAGCGCTGCGTTGTGTGCATCGACGTGACTGTCATCTTCCAGTTTGACGTCGTCGTAAAAACATGTAGCGGCAGTGCTTGATAACTGACTTTGGGACTGATGGCGGCCGAGGAAGACGTCACGACACCATGCGCGGCCCATGCCTTCACGGGCTCCGGCATAGTGAGGCAGTACAGCGCCAAGTGCTTCGTCATGCGAATTAGCCAGCGAGACTGCTGTCGCAGTACAAGCATGCAATGCGCTGGCGTCCCCATGAGTCTGTTTGGTCACCTAGTGTTCCCACACCCATCCTCTCGTTCGGGGCATCGTGGTTGATCCTTTTCGCGTGGATGCACGTGTGAGTCAACTGGGCCCCCTTTCATGAGGCAACTCGAGCGTTTTTTCGTGTACGAGCCAACCGACGACGCCCATCGTAATTCAGGTAGGAGGACGTCTGAACTACCACGATGTGGTCGCAGGGGCGGTGCCGCTACCAAGACCGGGTCATGGCGTGACGTCGACCATGCTGCCAGACCACTGCTGCTGCTGCATTCAGCGACCTGCCTTTCCACCACGCCGAAGTCCTGGCTTGTCAACACATCCGTTCAGTTGGCTTTGACGGAGCATGGTTTGCAATTGGATGCACCGTCACCGACCGCCGTCGAGTGCACTTTGTATCATGAAGACAATCTGAAGAGGAGGTGCATTCGCCACAAACTCGTGGCGGCTGGCGAAATGTTCGTGATCGCGTGCATTGGAAGCGCCAATGGTGCAAGGACCACGGTGGCCGTCGTTCCCGAACTTGGAAGGAGACACGAACGACGTGAAGGAGTTTCCACACGACCTGAAGCGGCGGTGAATGCGCAAACCACTCAACGCATCGAAGGCTGACTTGTACGAACCAATGCTACACAATTAAAGTACGGTACGTCGTGGCTCACTTCTCGTGTCGGTCATGTTGGCCGCGACACCAGCGAGTCGGATGGTTTTCGCAAGCCCAGTACGGAGTCTACGTGGCAGCCTGAGGAAGCAAGACTTGGTGGCGGCTCCACAGGACATGACAAAGTGGCGCGGGGGTGGTTTCATGACGAAGGGGTACGACAACATCCATTTCACGCACAAGAGCCATTGACGCTCTACCAACTTCTCTCGCACTTTTGAATCTGGATTCCTCGTGTTATTGCCCCCTACTTGCGGCGCCCCTGTAAACACCCCCAACCCCATGAACCTGTAAATTGTTTATCCAGGAAATTTCCAAGTAAACCCACTCGACCGACCGGCATTTCCGTTTTTGCCCTCAATTTTACACCAATTAAAATATATCCATTCGATTTTTTAGATTTATAGCCAATCAGATTGAGCATTTCTTCGTCGTGCATTTGTGTGGATTTCCATGGACATTAGGGACGTTTAGCAAGTCCGGAATCCTAAGTTTCCGGACTTGAACTTCGATTCGAACTCCGAAGAATTCAGACTTTGCTTGAACGCTGGTCTGGAAAGTGGGGTGGTTTACCGACTTTCCACCCCGAAGTCTGTGAAGTGCCATAGCCAATCAAATTGAGCTGTGGCAGCGTATTGTACGTCTACCTTCCTCAGCTCAAGTCGATGGGAAAACCTATCCAAAAGCAGCTCGCTTGGAGCACCGAAATGGACCTCGCCTTGCTTCGAGAAGTTCTTCGTGTCGAGCCTTTTGATGGCGAGTACGGCGCACTCACGCTCCGCTGGAAGACGGTTGCCACGAACATTTCTGCGTGTCTTGGGATGGAAATTTCTCACCGCTCGGCACGAGATCACTATGACGCCATGCTGGGTGCTTTCAAGAAAACGGACAGGTTTGTTTCAACGGCTCAAAGGGACTGGTAGTGAAGAAGAGGTGTCCGAGCAAGTGCTGCTCTTACAGAATCTTGTCGACCGCCGGAAGGCGAGAGACGAGGAGAAGAATGCGAAAAAGAAACGGAGCAGAAACGACGCGACTCGCTGGAATCCACAGGGTCGCAATTATGCCTCGAGGCCGAGCAGCGGGTTGCCAAGCGACAGCGAACAGCCAGCAGTGCGACGAAGGAAGAAGCGACCGACTCGGCCTTTTGGAACTTCTTGATTTCGAAAAGCAAAAACACTCTGACGATAAGGGGTATAGAATGGAGCGCCTCGAGTTCGACAAGGAAGAACAAAGTATTCGTTTGGCTCAAATGACCGAGAGCGCCAAGCGCAATGATCAACTCGAGCGTTTGTTGATTGAAATGGGAAAGTTAATCCAAGTTGTTGCAGAAAAATCGAGTAAGAACATGACCAATTATGATTGAATGATTTCACTCCATGTTAACATGCAAATATTCCTCTAATGTTGGAGGAGATAAATCAAAGTACACGCTATTAGTATTGCGACCTCTATCACAGGTGATGCAGTTAGTTAACAATACAGCAACCTTGTACATCTTGGATATTGGGCTATTGCCAACTCGCTTCTTTTTTTGAAGTCGACAATCGGCCAGTACTGCAAAACCTGTCCAAATTGCCATTCCACACTTATTCGCACCCGACTCATGCTTTTGTTCACTTGCTTTTGAGCTTCTGTCAAACGAGCTCCGCCAAACGAAGAGGCCAACAGGTTGGAATAGCCGTAGGCTGGGTCTCCATAGACGACAAATCCTCTAAACCTGTCATCACTGGCAATGACATTTTCCAAGTTGGATTGACGCAAAATGGTCAGAACATGTCGTCGGCCTTCGATAGGTCCAAATGCATGTGCAATCATACCATCGGGGGTCACAAGGGTTTGATATTTCATGGCGTGGCGTCGCTTGTGTCCATTAAACA